AAACCAAAGCATTGTGCAGGCATGACAGGAGTAATATACAAACATCAGAAAATTCTAAAATGGTAGTTTGTACACTCGAATGACATCAAATGACACAAAAATGACAAGTTTTTCTAGGTACAAAAGATAAATTTGAGAGAGAACAGCCCAGGTCTGAACTTATTAAAAAAGGCACAACACTACATTTCAACTGTTTTTGGGTGGGGGGTTAACTGACTAACAGGATTAGAGTCAATTACATGTTCAATTCAGTCAAGAAGTACAATAAAATAAAATAAAATCAGATTTCCCTCAATGCTCCTCTATGAGAATTTTAGCAAACATCAGGAATTTACCGAATTGAAATGGATCCCTGCTGACTAACACACAAGATACTGTTCAAAGGTCTCCAGCTGATACTGCTGTGTATAATAGGCAGAGAGGGAGAGATCTTGAATGTACTTAGCAAAAGGGCCAGACAATATAGCTAGGGCTGGATAATGTAGCTAGTCAGGTGCTTCTAGAATCTACGTAGCCCAAAAACATTCTGGGCCCAGACAGTATCGCAACAATCCAAAGCCTATATGAGTTTAGTTTTTCATTTAGCTTCAGGCAACAAGTCTGGGCACCGTATCAAGTGTTCCAGAGTAGGTGGACTGCTGATCTAGGGTCAGTTTTGCCCTTTAGATCATACTGAATAAGATTACATGGACAGGTGGGACCCTGGGCCAGTGTTCAAAACTCATTTCACAGTAGGAGTGCTGATCTAAGATCAGGTCCCCACCTGTCCATAAAATATTATTCATTATGATCTAAAGGGCAAAACTGACCCTACATCAGCACTCTTACTTTGAGACGCAGATATTTTTTCACAAATTGGTATTTTGACCAATCAGATTAGCTCTGAAAAAGAGCTGATGTGAAAAGATCTCATGTGATTGGTCAAAAGACCAATTAATATCAGAATTGGGCTGCCTGTGTAAACAGCCTAATTGCCATTCTCTTCTGTATGATTGGGATTTTTAAATTGTGCCCTCGCTGTGCTTGTGCAAATCATTGCTAAAAGGTCAAAGGTAAAACTGTACAGGACTCTTGGCTTAAATGCTGCTTCATGAGTTTTTAAAAGCAATACAAATTCAGTTACAGAGAAGAAAAAAGCAACAAAGACAAAAATAGGAATTACTTGAGGACATAGGCAGCTCTGTTCTGCTCTCTAAATGTGACTGGCAACAACCAACCATGTTCATTTTGCAGTACTTTTTGGTGAAAGCACAAGAAAAAAAAAGTTACAAGATACTATATTTTTTCCACTTTTTTTTTCTTCAATTTGTAAATGTTTATAGGTTTATTAGTTCAAAATATGTACATGCAGAACGTCACCAAACATTGCAGTTTTCTCCCCATTTTGCAAAACTTAGGGGTCTGAATAATTCTTTACAATGGGTCGGCTTTGATTAATAATTGTGTAATTTACAACCAAGCAAACAAATCATTTTTCTCGTTTCATTTGCCAAGTAATACTTAGTAAAGGCATGTGTCTCAGTACTGAAAAGTATGATGTTAAGGTAAAATAAATTTGTCATGTCATCATGTCTCATGTCAAAATGTCAGAGAAACCATTTTTCCAATCCCTACCACCACAACTTTAAGAACAATTATCTTATATACTCCTCAACTTGTACAATGGTGGCCACCGTAGTCAGCAATGCAGACTCACGTCTAGGTAGTCACGTCTGCATATACTGTACTCATATATTGGTTTAGACAGAAAAGAGAACCTTCAGTTCTGGAACATAGGTGCGCTAGATTATGGTTGGCGCGAAAGCCTACAGGACGGTGGCGCTCCAGGAACAGGGTTGGAGAGCACTGGTATAGGGATTGTTTGGGGTAGCTAGCCTGGAACCCGAACTGAATTGTGTTGTTTCACTATTGATCACTAACAAAGTGTTCCAGAATAATGAAACTGAACACAGAATTCAGTTTGGAGAGTGCTTATGTGAACTGTCAATTAATCATCACGTCAGGTTAAAATATACATGTACAGAGCTAGAAAGGAAGAGAGAACAGAAAGTGAAAGTTACCTACTACAGTCACAGACCATAGACACAAAGAAGGGTAAATAACAAAAAGGTTTTTAACAGTTAAGGCTGCTTGATAAAGAATATGTAGCTAAAGCATCGCTGGCTACACAATGTTTCAGATACTGTGAAATGTACAAAAAAAATCTACAGGAAACATCTTTGCAGATACCAAATAGTAGCAACATTATCTGGTGTTACTTATACAACGAATCGCTGCCCCCAACGTAGTTCCGACCCAGACAAAAAACATGTCAAATTATTTTTCAACATGCTTGGTTTCCTATACAACATAGCCAGGCAAGAAAAAGGATTGAGACACACAAGACATTTTTCTACAATAATTAAAAAAAGACGATAAAAGGAACAAAATGCCCATGATTATTACACACTTTCTATGAACTGAAATCAGACAATTGAAAAATCATTAGAATGCATCAGAACAATACCTCTTCATCGTCATCAACCTCAGATATAAGAGTCCAAAATATGACCACCCCCGAACCTAGACTAAGTTATAATTTTTTTCTTCAAAAAGCATGTTTTTACTTACATTCCTTGTTTTTGATAAATGCTTTTCTGAACGATAATGATTATGTCTCAGGTTCTCTACACATACATCAGTAATTCACCCCTCAATCGCAAATGGCACATAGATTAAAATGTATGAACAAAAACAAAGACTCAACATTATACAGGATAACAGCCTTTCTCTCGCTGCATACCCTAATGCACATCTCACTTTTAACTACTCACTGAAGGCATTTTCACATAATGATTCCATTTTGTTTATAGCTAAAACGTAAATACACAACCATTCCCCCCAAAAAGTACATTTGTTTTTTTATTTTTCATTTCTTCCGAAGCTTTAAAAAATATATAAAACCAGGAATGCAATGCCTCTGTTGGTATTCTTTGAGCGTGAACGAGAAGAAAGCCCTTTTTACATTTTTTGGTCTTTCCAAAAAAAGTTGTGTTGTAACTGCGTCGTTATAGGCTCAAATATGCACCTTAGTTTTTCCTTGTTGTACGTCGGTCCAAACAATTTGATCTGTTTGAAAACCACCAGATCTCATGTGACTCCAAACTCAGAGGTCAATGAATTTTCCCAGCCAAGCTACTGTACAAGTCTTCTGTATCGAGTCTGTATCGATGTTGTTGTTTTTGTTTAGGATAGATCTCACTCCCCCTTCATCAATTGTTTACAGCATATTTTTCAAGCAGCAACAGGTTCTGCTGGTAGGATTAGAAGCAGCAATACATTTTGTCCGGGTGTGTGCTCTGCCCAGGCCTAGTTTTTTTCTTACCAGTCCACAACCCACATCAAAACCTTAATCGTAAACTGCTGCCAAAAAACTAGACCCACACTTGATTAAAAATAAATACTAAAAGATGATTGAGTACAAAGCTTGGACGCAACACGTTTGTTTCCAAAACCAAAAAAGCTTTTGGTTTGATTTACCTTAGTTGGGATTTTAATGTACAGTCACGTGATATAATACTAACCCAATACAGTGTCATAAAAAAAAAAAAGTAGTAACAGAAAATGATTTACATTTTACAATGTGGATCTCAATGAATTGCAATAATTTGACAAAACATTTAGCTTGTAGTACATATGAGCAAGATATGGGGTACTTTAATACATCTTTAAACATATCAACAGGCCCTTATTGGACATACACAGTTCAAGCTAATATTTTCCATCAAGATTGAAAGAACAAAAGCCAAAACGTCTGAATTTGACGCTCCACATACTTACTAGTTTAGATTTCTTTTGAGCTTGTTATCCCATCCTTAATATTCATTTGACACTATTATAAAATGTACATGATAAACTGTTCAAAGAGATAAAATACTTATTCACTGTGAAACAAAAATGCCCCAGTTCAACGTAACCATGGAGATAAGGATATTGTCATTGTTAAAAGAGGATGATGCCAATGTCATTTAGAAAGTGCATAAGAACAGCATCATTGCTGGGACAGTGTGGGACAAAAAAAAGAAAGAAGCTGAGCAATACTTCAACTTTCAGATCTCGTGAAGAAGCGTACTAAAAAGCAGTCAAAGAAACTGGATGTAAAATGACAATTATGGGGTTTGATTCATGTTTTTGGCATACCTTAATGACCGTAACCATGGCAACGTTAGTCATTAGTTATATTGACACCTTTCCTTCAACGTTCCTGATATGTTGTTGTTGGTCGATCGTTTCCACGTTGTATGACAGTAACGGAGCCCCAACACTGAAGATATAGCAAAAACGTTAACATTACAATGACTCAATTGCACTCAAGGCAACAATCAGTATTTATAGAATATAAAAAAAATCACTACAGATCACTTATGTCTTTTTACAGTTTTCAATACTTTTTCAAAAAATAAAAAATAATAAGTTGAATATCTTAAACATGAGGGCAACATTACTGCCCATTTTGGAAAGGTTTGAGTCAAACTTGCTAAGTCCTTTTTTTAAGCATTAAAGATTTCGCATTTATTTTATATATTACTAGCTTACTGTTTAAAGATTACTGCTTATTTTTTATTTTAAAACCTCCGAAAGCCATTGATTCGAATTTATACTGTATCTTTATCGCTTTCTTTTATAGAATCATTGTCATCCAACAATGATAGAACTAATATAAAATAAATGTAAAAACATTTATTTTTAAACAAATCATAATTCTAGGAAGAAAATTAGTTAAAATAAATTATACCTTTGTATAATATTCATGGTCAATTGTGTTTAGAGCGTCGGAAAACCAGTGGACCATCCTGGACATATAGGCACTATTTTTTTACATATTAATGTGAAATTAAAAACATCAACATTAGACCTTTGTTCTTTAACCTCAAACCTCACGATAACACAAATCTTTAGTCGAGTGGTAAAAAAAAAAGTATATATATATATATATATATATATATATCAAAAAGAAAAAGACATGACAAAATGAACATTGATAATGGCAGCAGCAGTAAAAATTAAAGTTTCAAATATTATTTTGTTTTTGCATACAATAGTTGTATCCTAAGCTCTCCTAATATACATATACCTAATTACTGTAAATGCGTTCGCATTGGGAATATGGTTTATATGTTAAAAGAATCATAGCCACTTTAGCGCACTGTTACTCAATATACATGATCCGTTTTGGCAAAAGAGTGGTAGAGATATATTAAAGGGGAATTCCACCACTTTTTAACCTCCTATTCATTACCTCCAGTGCTATACCAGTGTCTTCATATGTATGCAAACAGATTATGTATTGTATTGTGCTGGAGTTAATGAATGTAAAAAAGTGGTGTAATGACCCTTTAAGTTTTGTCTTCTTACATGATTCGGGAATAAAATATTGGGGAAGTTGGCCTTCTAAATGGCTATGATTCCTCAACAGAAACGCTGGAGCACAGTCTCAATATAAATGTACTTGTTTGTTTAGTTTTTTCCTCATATAGATAGATAATGTATGAACCGAAAATGTTTTCCTACTCCTCTCTTTTTGTACATTTAGTTTGTTTTTGTTGTTGTTATGATGTTGTTGTTGTTTTTTACAGTGTACGACACACGTAGTTGGATAGGTAAGGGATTGGGTGGGGTGTCTGAGTGGGTGGGCGTCGGCCTTCAGAACATTGGCGTGGCCTATCCGATTACGGGCGTGGTCTGTTGTCAGATCATGGGCCTTGCGTGGGCCTTTAACACCATGGACCTGGTCATTCAGCCATCATATCAGCTCTCAGACCATGGCCTCCCTCCGGGCCCTCAGACCAAAATCTTGGACTCCGGGCCCTATCAGACCATGGCACGGTAGGGCCCCTGCATTTTGAGGAACTGGATAATGAAGGAGGGGCCCCCGGCCACGATCTGTGGGGGCAGGTGGCTGAGGGGACAGTTCTCGATGCTCATGATGGACAGCTTGCTGCACAGGGCCAGCTCAAACGGGAGGCTGTGCAGGTTGGGGTTGTCGTTGAGGTACAGCTCCTCCAGGTTCTCCAGTGTACCTAGGATCGAAAGGAGGGAGGGAGGAAAGGGTAGAGAGAGGGATGGAGGGAGATAGTAGGGGTAGAGGATACAGGAGTGTTAGGTTCTGCCTGGAGGCACTGAGACAGATACATAATAATAATAATAATAATAATAATATGCCATTTAGCAGACGCTTTTTATCCAAAGCGACTTACAGTCATGTGTGCATAACATTTTTTACGTATGGATGGTCCCGGGGATCGAACCCACTACCCTGGCGTTACAAGCACCATGGTCTACCAACTGACCTACAAAGGACCACATGTAGTTTTATCTCTATTCTGACAAGTTTAAGTATCCATTTGAAAGCTTGTGACCTCCTCCAATAAGCTCCTTGTTTCTCAATGACATTTGGAGTTGGGGTGAGGATGGAAGGAATCAAGGAAGGACTTTTGAGATGCACTCCTAATCTGAGTTGTATTTGTATTTATTAGGGATCCCCATTAGCTGCTGCTAAGGCAGCATCTACTCTTCCTGGGGTCCAAACATATTAAAGCACTTACATTACATATAAAACAAAAGATAAAACAGTACATCATATTACATTATTACACCTCTACAATACAAAATGTTTAAAAACCACCATACAACAATATCACAATGTGTACGTATGCATGTGTCTGTACCTTTGTGTACGTCTCTTCACAGTCCCCGTTGTTCCATAAGGTGTATTTTTACCTGTTTTTTTAAAATCTGTTTCTACTGCTTGCATCCGTTACCTGATGTGGAATAGAGTTCCATTTAGTCATGGCTCTATATAGTACTGTGCGCCTCCCATAGTGTGTTCTGGACTTGGGGACTGTGAAGAGACCTCTGGTGGCATGTCTTGTGGGGTATGCATGGGTGTCCGAGCTGTGTGCTAGTATTTTAAATAGACAGCTCGGTACATTCAGCATGTAGCCTGGGTACCAGTCTTTTTCTGTATGTTTGGCAAATGACACAGAGTACAAGGAGTGGTCTTAGCAGAAACAGACCGGTACCCAGGCTGAGTGGTATGAGGTAAAATGTATTTACCAATCTCCTCCGGCAGGTGCTGCAGCAGGTTCTCTCCCAGACCCAGGTGGGTCAGGTTGGTGAGGTGACCGATCCCACGGGGCAACGTGGTCAGCTGATTATTGGTCAACACTAGTTTCTGATAGGATACAAGCAAAAATGGAATGTCAATATCACACCATGGAAACCCTGATGAAGACACCTTAGCTGTCGAAACGTTGTTAATAAATTATTGTTCAAAACATCCTGGAGATATAAAAATAGTTTATTTAAAAGGTCCAATGCAGCCGTTCAATATCAAATTGTTTCTGATTGTTTTGAATTAAAATGATAAAAAATAAAACAAAAATAGATTCTTAGCCAAGAGTGTCTGGGAGTGGTCTGAGTGGGGAGGGGAAAAGTACAAACGAGCTCTTAATGGTTTGGAACTCTTTCTTATTGGTCTATTAACTAATTTACCACTTGGTGATGTCACCAGGCAGGCCAAAACTCCAATCCACCAAAACAGGCTGAAATTTCAGGCGGTCTTTTCAAACAGCATTATCATAATTTTCACAATTTCACAGCATTATTCCAACTTTATAGTGTGGAAATACACTAAATGACCAAAAGTATGTGGACACCTGCTCGTCGAACATCTCATTCCAATATCATGGGCATTAATATGGAGTTGGTCCCCCCTTTGCTGCTATAACAGCCTCCACTCTTCTGGGAAGGCTTTCCACTAGATGTTGGAACATTGCTGTGGGGACTTGCTTCCATTCAGCCACAAGAGCATTAGTGAGGTCGGGCACTGATGTTGGGCGATTAGGCCTGGCTCACAGTTGGCATTCCAATTCATCCCAAAGGTATTTGATAGGGACTGCCAGATGGTGAAGCGTGATTCATCACTCCAGAGAATGCATTTCCACTGCTCCAGAGTCCAATGGCGGCAAGCTTTACACCACTCCAGCCGACGCTTGGCATTGTGATCTTAGGCTTGTGTGCGTGCGGCTGCTTGGCCACGGAAACCCATTTCATGAAGCTCCCGACCAACAGTTCTTCTGCTGACGTTGATTCCAGAGGCCGTTTGGAACTCGGTAGTGAGTGTTGCAACCGAGGACAGATTATTTTTACGCTCTACACGCTTCAGTACTCAACGGTCCCGTTCTGTAAGCTTGTGTGGCCTACCACTTCGCGGCTGAGCCGTTGTTGCTCCTAGACGTTTCCACTTCACAATAACAGCAATAACAGTTGACCGAAGCAGCTCTAGCAGGGCAGAAATTTTACGAACTGACTTGTTGTAAAGGTGGCATCTTATAATGGTACCATGTTGAAAGTCACTGAGCTCTGCAGTAAGGCCATTCTACTGCCAATGTTTGTCTATGGAGATTGCATGGCGGTGTGCTCAATTTTATACACCCGTCAGCAACGGGTGTGGCTGAAATAGCCGAATCTACTAATTTGAAGGGGTGTCCACATACTTTTGCATATACAGTGCCATCGGAAAGTATTCAGACAGCCTTATTCTAAAATTGATTAAATAGTTTTTTCCCCTCATCAATCTACACACAATACCCTATAATGACAAAGTAAAAGCAGGTTTTTATATTTTTTTGCAAATGTATTAAAAATAAAAACGGAAATATCACATTTACATAAGTATTCAGACCCTTTACTCGGTACTTTGTTGAAGCACATTTGGCAGAGTCTTCTTGGGTATGACGCTACAAGCTTGGCACACCTGTATTTGGAGAGTTTCTCCCATTCTTCTCTGCAGATCCTCTCAAGCTCTGTCAGGTTGGATGGGGAGCGTTGCTGCACAGCTATTTTCAGGTCTCTCCAGAGATGTTCGATCAGGTTTACGTCTGGGCTCTGGCTGGGCCACTAAAGGACATTCAGAGGCTTGTCCCAAAGCCACACCTGCTTGGTCTTGGCTGTGTGCTTAGGGTTGTTGTCCGGTTGGAAGGTGAACCTTCGCCCCCAGTCTGAGGTCTTGAGAGCTCTGGAGCAGGTTTTCATCAAGGATCTCTGTACTTTGCTCCATTTATCTTTGCCTTGATCCTGACTAGTTTCCCAGTCCCTGCCACTGAAAAATATCCCCACAGCATGATGCTGCCACCACATGCTTCACCGTAGGGATGGTGCCAGGTTTCCTCCAGATGTGACGCTTGGCATTCAGGCCAAAGAGTTCAATCTTGGTTTCATCAGACCAGAGAATCTTGTTTCTCATGGTCTGAGAGAGTCTTTAGGTGCCTTTTGGCAAACTCCAAGCAGGCTGTCATGCGCCTTTTACTGAGGAGTGGCTTCCGTCTGGCCACTCTACCATAAAGGAGTGAATGGTGGAGTGCTGCAGAGATGGTTGTCCTTCTGGAAGGTTCTCCCATCTCCACAGAGGAACTCTGGAGGTCTGTCAGAGTGACCATCGGGTTCTTGGTCACCTCCCTGACCAAGGCCCTTCTCCCCTGATTGCTCAGTTTGGCCTGGCGGCCAGCTCTAGGAAGAGTCTTGGTGGTTCCAAACTTCTTCCATTTAAGAATGGATGCCACTGTGTTCTTGGGGACCTTCAATGCTGCAGAATTTTTTGGCACCCTTCCCCAGATCTGTGCCTCGACACAATCCTGTCTCGGAGCTCTATGGCAATTCCTTTGACCTCGTGGCTTGGTTTTTGCTCTGACATGCACTGTCAACTGTGGGACCTTATATAGACAGGTGTGTGCCTTTCCAAATAATGTCCAATCAATTGAATTTACCACAGGTGGACTCCAATCAAGTTGTAGAAACATCTCAAGGATGATCAATGAAACAGGAAGCACCTGAGCTCAATTTCGAGTCTCATAGCAAAGGTCTGAATACTTATGTAATTAAGGTATTTGTTTTTTATTTTAAATAAATGTGCAACATTTTCTAAAAACCTGTTTTTGCTTTGTCATTGTGGGGTAGTGTGTAGATTGATTGACTTTATTATTTTTTTTGAGGGGAAAACACAATTTAATCCATTTTAGAATAAGGCTGTAACGTAATAAAATGTGGAGAAAGTCAAGGAAAATCACATTTTTGAATGCATTGGGCCTTTAAAAGTAGAAGAAAGATTACTTATGTCAATGAAATTCCTCATCACAGCACTACAGTATCACTACATTTGGTAGTGGTCTTTGAATGGTTTATAACTCAACACATTTTAGTTAAAGGTAGGCCTAAATGCTTAGGTGACAGTGTAGGGAATTAGCATAATAGTATCAAACCTGTAAATCTTTCAGGTAAGCAATTTCATTCGGGAGCGATTCCAACTTGTTCTCCTCCAAGTCGAGCTCCCGTAGTTTCCTCAGGTTGCCAATACCATGTGGCAACTTCTTGAGAAGATTGTTGGACAATATCAAGACCTGTGAACAAAACAACAGAGATGTTTCAGAACACTGAACGGAACATTAAAACACTGAAGCGAACCGTCACAACCTGTAGCTTGTGTTACAGACTTTAAAATAACTAAATAGTTGATAAACTATGTTGAAAAGGGAGTGATAATCATTTAGATTTTCGGGTCAGTTTGAATAATGTAGGAACTGAAGATGGCATCAGAAAAGCAGTAAGTCCATTTTTCAGGAAAGATCCCATCCGAGAATTCTATTTAGGCCACACCTCGAGCGAAACGAGTCCGCAGATGTCCTCGGGGATCTTTGTCAGCTGATTAGTGGCCAGGTTGAGCTCCACCATACTGGTCCACGTGCCAAAGTCTAGCGGCAGAGACGTCAACTGGTTGTCCTGAAATACAACAACGATATTGACAATCCACAACGGACAACGATTCCAGAACCAGAGCAGAAGGAAGACTTTGTTCAATAAGGTTAAGTGGATAATGTTGCTCACGTCAGCTATTTACCTAAGCAAGCACCATCACCAACCATTGTAAACCTTAAAGGGATAGTTCGGGATTTTGGCAATGAGGCCCTTTATCTACTTCTTCAGAGTCAGATGAAATCATGGATACCATTTTTATGTCCCTGTAGAGTTCCAGTCATTGCGCTAACGCTAGTTAGCATTGGCTCGAGAAACTACCTCTAACTTCCTTCATACTGGACGCAGATACATACAAATGGTAGATAAAGGGCTTTATTGCCAAAATCTCCAACTATCCCTTTAACATCAGAAGAAAGAGCCACATTGACCTGCCTACATAATGTCTGGGACTATTGTCTTGGTCCCCTTACTAGAAGTCATCAAAAAAGAGGGAAGGAGACGACAACAAGTAGCAATGGACAGCATTACCTTCATGTTGAGTTTGCTGAGGACTTTGGCCCTGGAGAAGATTCCGAAGGGGATCTTGTTAATGCGGTTGTGCTCCATGTTGAGAGAGTAGATGGTGGAGAACTGGGAGGGCCCTCCCACCGGGTAGGACTGGAAACAGTTCCTCGCCAGGGTTAGACTGGTCAGATTCACCAGACTAGACAGGAGACCCTGGGATAGAGAGAAGGAGGAGGTGGTAGATAGATAGATATGCTTTATCTCTAACAATTCCATTAAATTCAATAATCAATAAAAGCACCACTCACTTCTGGCAACACGGAGATGTTGTTGTTTTCTAGGTTGAGCTCTTCCAGTTCTCTGCACTTAGCTAGCGACCTGGGGATGGCTGACAACCGGTTGTACCGCAGACCCAAGCGGTTTATGCTTGACAAGTTACCTGCAACGAGAAAAGGTTCAATACAAAAATGACAATAAACAAAGTCAGATGTTAGATTTCATGTTAAGCGTTTCAAATGTATGTAATGTATGTATTGGCTGGTGCAATCAAATTTCCCCTCTGGGGGATCAATAAAGTACTATCTTAAATACCAGCACTTGCAGTTCCTAAAACTGTAGATTATACAATTTCTGAGAATGTTCAAAAGTTTTATCCTAAAAACTACACCTAGTCATCACAATGTACAGTTAAGAATGTGCACTGTACAGCTGTGTCAGTATTGGTATCATGTAGGCTAAGTATAGGCAGATTATTTCCCAAATTGCATTGAGAGAACATTGCTGACTGCTGAGGTCCCAGTCAGTCTCACCTATAGTTTCTGGTAGGTCCAGTAGCTCGTTGTGCTGTAGGTCGAGGTTGGTGATCTGTGTGCAGTTGCCGATCTCCTTGGGTAGGTGTTCCAGCTGGTTATGGGCTACGTCTAGGGTGATGAGGTTACAGAGCTCCCCTGCAGAGAGGCAGGGCCAATACAACAGAGTCAACACACGAACGTGACTCATCTGGACAAGAACCGCAATCAGAGTTATCAAAAGACTGGTTTAGTTTACAGCTTCAGCTTTTTCACAACACTGCAGCAATGTCTTCTGTAATGCCGGGTTTACACTACAAGACTTTCAAAATCCTAACATCGCTGAGCCTCTCACATTTAACGACCGTCTTTCCTGTAGTTTTTTGTCTTGCCAACGTCGTGGTGCGCACACTAAACGACGTGGCACAGACGGGGTTCACACTTTACAACAGGGTTCTTCAATTCCGGTCCTGGAGGGCCGAAACACCTCTGTTTTTCATCCTCTCCTTCTAATCAGGGGCTAATTCAGACCTGGGACACCAGGTGAGTGCAATTAACTACCAGGTAGAAATAAAAAACAGAAGTGTTTTGGCCCTCCAGGACCGGAATTGAAGAACCCTGCTTTACAAGATACTTCACTTGGTCGTGAGGATTCTCTATACCACGCTGTCTCTCCAAAACAATGATGCGTTTAGATAGTTAACGTAGCTACAACAAGCTGTGGCTGAAACAAGCCTCAAACGTTTTCAGTCAGACATTCACGCTTGCCATACAGAGTTGAAATATCTAGCCAATACATTTTGAATGGAATAACATTGGTAGTGAACTTCAGAGCTGTAACGATTTGATACTTTGGCTTTGGTTAAAGGCATGTACAAACGCATACTAGTAGTAGTTATCACTCCTGATGGAGAGTCTACACATTCTTGGTGATGTGATGCAACATCATCATCATCTCACTGGCGAGCTCTCATTGGCTAGTGCTGATCACCATTCCCAAAACGTGTCATTGCACAACTCACACTACAAGAGCATTGCAGATTTTGTGCTGATAAAATCAAACACGTTTGAAAATATCGGGACGTCTGGGATGGCCCAAAGACGGGATCGGTAGCAAAGACGGGATCGGTAGCACTCAGATTGCATCTCTGACCTCGCTCACATTAAACGAGCGTCGGTGACGGCTGCGCGCCCCAAGTACGCAAAGCATGGGGATTTGTCTCCGATCTCAAAAACGTATCTGGGACAGCTACAATCAGGGCCAAAATAGTGTGGTGTACCTCCCGGCTTAAGGTGGGCAAAAATTACAGATACATCGTCATTGTCATCAAGAACCCAATCCGCCAGCCTCGACTCCCTCCCTCCTCCTCCTCCCCCCAACACTCATCTATTTCATCTGTTTGATCTTGTTCTCGTGGATGACACACACCCGCTCCCCCTCACTCACATCTCCCTCCCTTCCTCCTCCCCCCCCTCACATCTCCCTCCCTCCCTCCTCCTTCCCCCCACTCACATCTCCCTCCTCCTTCCCCCCACTCACATCTCCCTCCCTCCTCCCCCCCACTCACATCTCCCTCCTCCTCCTTCCCCCACTACATCTCCCTCCCCTCCTTCCCCACTCACATCTCCCTCCCTCCTCCCTCCCCCCACTCCACATCTCCCCTCCCTCCTCCTTCCCCCCACTCACATCTCCCTCCCTCCTCCCTCCCCCCACTCACATCTCCCTCCCTCCTCCTTCCCCCCACTCCCATCTCCCTCCCTCCCTCCTTCCACCCACTCACATCTCCCTCCCTCCTCCTCCCCCACTCCATCTCCCCCCTCCTCCCCCACCACATCCCCCCCTCCCCCCCCCTCCCCCCCCCCCCTCCCTCCCCCCTCCCACATCTCCCTTCCCCCCCACTCCCCATCTCCCTCCTCCCACTCCCTCTCCCCCCCCACTCCCCTCCCTCCTCCCCCCTCACCCATCTCCCTCCCTCTTCCCCCACTCACATCCCCCCCCCCCCACCCATCTCCCCCCCCCACTCACTCTCCCCCTCCCTCCCTCCTTTCCCCCACTCACAGCTCCTCCCTCCCTCCTTTCCCCACTCACATCCTTCCCCTCCCCTCCCCCCACTCACATCTCCTTTCCTCCCCCACTCACCACATTCCCTCCTCCTTCTCCCCATTCACCTTCTCCCTCCCCCCACCAACCATCTCCCTCTTTCCTTTTCCTCCCCCACTCACCCATCTCCCTCCCTCCCTCCCCCCACACATCTCCCTTCCTCTCCTCTCCCCTACTCACATCTCCCTCCCCCTCCCACTCACATCTCCCTCCCCCTCCCACTCACATCTCCCTCCCTCCCTCCCCCACTCACATCTCCCTCCCTCCTCCTTCCCCCCACTCACATCTCCCTCTCTCCTTTTCCTCCCCCACTCACCCATATCCCTCCCTCCTCCTCCCCCCACGCAACCATCTCCCTCCACTAACCCATCTCCCTCCTCCTCCCCCCATCTCCCTCCTCCTCCCCCATCTCCCTCCTCCTCCCCCATCTCCCTCATTCACCTATCTCGGCGGGCAGCTGTTTGATCTTGTTCTCACGGATGCTGAGCATGGTCAACTTCGCCAGGTTCCGGATGTCCCTCTCCACCGCCGTGATCCGGTTGAACCTCAGGTACAGCGTGGTCAGCGACGTCACCCGGTAAACCACCGCCGGTATCTCCCTCAGTTTGTTATGCCGCAGGTCCAGCATCCTCAACTTCTTCAGGGAGTCCAAGGACTCTGGTAGGCTGGTTAGAGAGTTCTCACTCAGGGCTAAGGTGACCAGGCCAGACAGGCAGCCCACCTCTGAAGGGAGGCTCTGGAGCTTGTTGCTGTACAGGTAGAGCTCAGCCAGCTGGGTGAGTTCCTTTATGGAGGTGGGTAATATGTGGATGGAACGCTTGGACAGGTCCAGACGCATGGAGTTCTCCTCACGGCACTTGTTGAGCTCTTTGATCACCTGGGATTGGGAAAGTTATAATATGTCCATGTTATTGAAGACACGTTATGTCAGTGTTTCCCAAACTCAGTCCTGAGGACCCACGGTTAGTTTTTTTGCCCTAGCACTACACAGCTGATCAACAAGCTAAGATTATTTGAATGAACGGTGTAGTGCTAGAGCAAAAAACTAAATGTGCCCCCCTTGGGGTCCCCAGGACCGAGTTTGAGAAATGCTGTGTTGTGTGACGAATGTAGAATAATAATAAATTAGACAGAGTTTTTTCTGGATCAAAATTGGGCTTAGGTGGTGGGCGTGGCGGAGGCGTAGCCATGGTGTGGACGCCAACCCAATTTTTTTGACATATCTACACATTTTGCCATGTAGCGGAGATGAAACTTTGCAATTTTAAAGCTAATTTCCTGCAATTCTACACATTTTGCCATGGCTTATGCTACCGGAGTGATACAAACATCATAACAAAATCAATAGGAGCCCCATGCCATGACACAAACAATCCTGTATGCATCATTTTGGGAATTTGACAGATGTTTTGTTCTCAGAGATGATCTTATTGAAAAGTATATCGGTCCATTATCTTTTATACATACTTTACATCTGTATCTGAAAGTTATTTCCCCACTCCCCCCTCCCGAAGAAAAAGGAATTGTCCGTAGAGCGCCGAGACAGGATTGTGTCGAGGCACATATCTGGGGAAGGGCACCAAAACATTTCCGCAGTATTGAAGGTCCCCAAGAACACAGTGGCCTCCATCATTCTTAAATGGAAGAAGTTTGGAACCACCAAGACTCTTCCTAGAGCTGGCCGCCTGGCCAAACTGAGCAATCAGGGGAGAAGGTCCTTTGTCAGAGTGACCATCGGGTTCTTGGTCACCTCCCTGACCGAGTTCCCTACGGACAATTCCTTCGACCTCATGGCTTGGTTTTTGCTGACATGCACTGTCAACTGTGGGACCTCAGGTGTGTGCTTTTCCAAATCATGTCCACAGGTGGACTCCAATTAAGTTGTAGAAACATCTCAAGGATGTTCAATGGAAATAGGATGCACCTAAGGTCAACTTCGAGTCTCATAGCAAAGGGTCTGAATACTTATGTAAATAAGGTATCTGTTTTGTTTTCTGCAATCAATTTGGAAACATTTCTAACAACCTGTTTTCGCTTTGTCATTAAGGGGTATTGTGTGTAGATTGCTGACGAAAAATGTTTTATTTAATCAATTTTAGAATAAGGCTGTAACGTAACAAAATGTGGAAAAAGTCAAGGGGTCTGAATACTTTCCAAAGGCACTGTCTAAATATATTTAAAAAAAAAATAAAAAATATATATATATATATATATATTTAAAAACACACACAAACACACTGAACAAAAATATAAATGCAACAATTTAAAAGATTTTACTGAGTTACAGTTCATAAAGAAATCAGTCAATTTAAATAAATTCATTAGGCCCTAATCTATGGATTCCACATGACTGGGAATACAGATATGCATCTGTTGGTCACAAATACCTTTAAAAAAAGTAGGGGCGTGGATCAGAAAACCAGTCAATATCTAGTGTGACCACCATTTGCCTCATGCAGTGCGACACATCTCCTTCGCATAGAGTTGATCAGGCTGTTGATTGTGGCCTGTGGAATGTTTTCCCACACCTCTTCAATGGCTGTGCGAAGTTGCTGGGTATTGGCGGGAACTGGAACACGCTGTCGTACATGTTGATCCAGAGCATCCCACACATGCTCAATGGGTGACGTCTGATGAGTATGCAGGCCATAGAAGAACTGGGCCATTTCCAGCTTCCAGGAATTGTGTACAGATCCTTGTGACATGTGGCCGTGCATTATCATGCTGAAACATGAGGTGATGGCGACGGATCAATGGTAGACAATGGGCCTCAGGATCTCATCACGGTATCCCTGTGCATTAAAATTGCCATTGATAAAATGCAATCGTGTTCGTTGTCCGTAGCTTATGCCTGCCCATACCATAACCCCACCGCAATCATGGGGTAACGCCATACACATGGTCTGCTGTTCTGAGGCCGGTTGGACGTACTGCCAAATTCTCTAAAATGGCTTATGGTAGAGAAATGAACATTTAATTATCTGGCAACAGCTCTGGTGGACATTCCTGCAGTCAGCATGCCAATTGCAAGCTCCCTCAAAACTTGAGACATCTGTGGCATTGTGTTGTGACAAAACTGCACATTTTAGAGTGGCCTTTTATTGTCCCCAGCACAAGGTGCACCTGTGTAATGACCATGCTGTTTAATCAGCTTCTTGATATGCCACACCTGTCAGGTGGATGGATTATCTTGGCAAAGGGAAATGCTCACTAACAGGGATGTAAACAAATTTGTGCACAACATTTGAGAGTAATAAGCTTTTGTTGCTGTGGAACACTTCTGTGATCTTTTATTTAAGCTGATGAAACATGGGACCAACACTTTACATGTTGCGTTTATATTTTTGTTTAAGTATATATAGTTGAAGTCGGAAGTTTACATACACCTTAGCCAAATACATTTAAACTCAGTTTTTCACAATTCCTGACATTTAATCCTAGTAAAAATTCCCTGTTTTAGGTCAGTTAGGATCACCACTTTATTTTAAGAACGTGAAATGTCAGAATAATAGTAGAGAGAATGATTTATTTCAGCTTTTATTTCTTTCATCACATTCCCAGTGGGTCAGAAGTTTACATACACTCAATTAGTATTTGGTAGCATTGCCTTTAAATTGTTTAACTTGGGTCAAACTTTTCGGGTCACCTTCCACAAGCTTCCCACAATAAGTTGGGTGATTTTTGGCCCATTCCTCCTGACAAAGCTGGTGTAACTGAGTCAGGTTTGTAGGCCTCCTTGCTCGCACACACTTTTTCAGTTCTGCCCACACATTTTCTATAGGATTGAAGTCAGGGCTTTGCGATGGCCACTCCAATACCTTGACTTTGTTGTCCTTAAGCCATTTTGCCACAACTTTGGAAGTATGCTTGGGGTCATTGTCCATTTGGAAGACCCATTTGCGACCAAGCTTTAACTTCCTGACTGATGTCTTGAGATGTTGCTTCAATATATCCACATAATTTTCCTTCCTCATGATGCCATCTATTTTGTGAAGTGCACCAGTCCCTCCTGCAGCAAAGCACCCCCACAGCATGATGCTACCACCGCCGTGCTTCACGGTTGGGATGGTGTTCTTCGGCTTGCAAGCAGCCCCCTTTTTCCTCCAAACATAACGATGGTCATTATGACCAAACAGTTCTATTTTTGTTTCATCAGACCAGAGGACATTTCTCCAAAAAGTACGATCTTTGTCCCCATGTGCAGTTGGAAACCGTAGTCTGGCTTTTTTATGGCGGTTTTGGAGCAGTGGCTTCTTCCTTGCTGAGCGACCTTTCAGGTTATGTCGATATATGACTCGTTTTATTGTGGATATAGATACTTTTGTACCTGTGTCCTCCAGCATCTTCACAAGGTCCTTTGCTGTTGTTCTGGGATTGATTTGCACTTTTCGCACCAAAGTACATTCATCTCTAGGAGACAGAACGCATCTCCTTCCTGAGCGGTATGACGGCTGCGTGGTCCCATGGTGTTTATACTTGCGTACTATTGTTTGTACAGTTGAACATGGTACCTTCAGGCGTTTGGAAATTGCTACCAAGGATGAACCAGACTTGTGGAGGTCTACAATTTCTTTTCTGAGGTCTTGGCTGATCTTTTGATTTTCCCATGATGTCAAGCAAAGAGGCACTGAGTTTGAAGGTATGCCTTGAAATACATCCACAGGTACACCTCCAATTGACTCAAATTATGTCAATTAGCCTATCAGAAGCTTCTAAAGCCATGACATCATTTTCTGGAATTTTCCATGCTGTTTAAAGGCACAGTGAACTTAGTGCATGTACACTTCTGACCCACTCGAATTGTGATACAGTGAATTATAAGTGAAATAATCTGTCTGTAAACAATTGTTGGAAAAATTACTTGTGTCATGCACAAAGTAGATGTCCTAACCGACTTGCCAAAACTATAGTTTGTTAGCTAGAAATTTGTGGAGTGGTTGCAAGCTCCCTCAAAACTTGAGACATCTGTGGCATTGTGTTGTGACAAAACTGCACATTTTAGAGTGGCCTTTTATTGTCCCCAGGTTGACAAACAAGTTTTAAATGACTCCAACCTAAGTTTATGTAAACTTACGACTTCAACTGTGTGTGTATATATATATATATTTTTTTTTTTTCTGTTTTGACATGGGCAGCCGAAAAAACACTTAGGTGGCCCGCCCAGGACTTTTCTTTGCAGAAAAAACCCTGTAATATATGCCATTTAGAAGACACTTTTTTTTACTTCCGTATTGCATGTATTATAGTGTATTGTTTTTGTGTATATGTCTGCCAACTTCACAAAATGAATTTCCATGTAAATGGACAATAAAGTATATCGTATTGTGCATTCATTTTCTTATGGGTGACCCCTGCAGGAATCAAACCCCTTGACCCTATTGATGCAAGCGCCATGCTCTACCAACTGCCACATAGGACCACAATCAGGACCACAATCACAAATAATGTGTCTTATTGATATGTGTTTTGTAAAATAACATATTCACCCACAATCACAAATAATGTGTATGTTATGATATGTTAGGCTATGTGTTTTGTAATAAAGTATCTTCATCTCATCTCACCTCGGCATTGCTGGACTTCTTGCGCGTCCCTGGCGCCGGGTTGGGCCTCTTTATCGTGTTGTCCACGGAGAAGGCGACGGCGGGCGACGCGGAACCGGCATCCTTCTTTCCTTCTTTGGCGTCTTTCCCTTTGGCCTTGGGCTCCTTGCCGCCATCTTTGCCGCCTAAGCCAGCCAGAGCCTTGGCCTCTTTTTCCCTTTCTTTCCCTCCTGTCGGACCTCCTTTCAGGTCCTTCTCTTTCCAGTCTTTGTCTTTGTTACCTAAAGTACTACTCATGGCGTGGACGTGGTTGTCGGTCCCCCTGCGGAGTCTCTCATGGGACCGCAACGCCCCAACTGTCACTCTCCCTGGTTTGTTTGGAGTTTTCCCTCAAAAAAGCGGTCAACCGACAAGTAGGTGTGGAGAGGGATAAGAGTAGGAGACGGCCTTTATAAACACACCCGTTGATACATACCTGTGTAGGCCTATACATTTACAAGTATTTTACTTCACAAATAAATCACTGTGATCCAAGCGGTTTCTTTTCTCTTTTTCGTTTCTCAGAACACCATAGGGGAGTAAATCCTTTGAAGTTGTGACTTGACAGGAGTGGTGGTGGCAGCCATGGGCCACCTAGTTGTTTGAACAGTAGACGATTCCCCTCAGTCTGGTTTGAAGCCAGTTCAGACTAGAAAGGTCATCGAGGTTCTCATCCTTTGGGCTTTTTGAATGCTGTTGAATAAAACATAGACAATGATGAGTCAAAAGGATGTTCAACGTGATCACATTTGAAATTAGTCAAAATCACATTTGATATCTTAGTGAATAGTGGTGGGGATAAAAATTAAAAATATTGTAAAAAATAATTCTACAAAAATGTAACGATATATTTATTGATGATATATCGTATTTAGAGATCGACTGATACAGATTTTTTAGGGGCGATGTCGATAATAAATGTTGGGGGTCAAGGAGGCCGATGGATGATATTTTAGGCCGATATTCAATATCATTAAAAGGGGCAATCAGCAGTTGCTACATTCATTTTTGGACTTAGATATGAATTATATGTACCCATTGATTCTTGAGGAATATAACTTATAAATGCCTCATGAGCTTAGTTCAACTGTTGTACCCCATCAGAACCCAAAATATAAGTTTGTTTTACTCCTTTGTTTTTAAACAAACACTATTTAGCCTCAAAACATGATTAAAACTATAATGTTGATATCATGGATGGTCAGTCCTTGCATCCATAGCTCTGTCTATGAATTTGAGAGTGATGAAATGTCTCCAGCCCCATCCCTCAGCTGTTTACCGAACCAGGGCTGGGGAGTCTGCTTTACTATTGTTTCTACTACTCTTGATACACTGTGTAAATTAAGATGTAGCCTAGGCCTACTCACAATACAGGGGAATGCATATTCAATAGGAATGTGTGCATATATTGAGTTATTGAGCTTGTTGAGTCTATGGTGCTACAGATTACAAAATCTGTTTGCCTTCCATTTGGGAGTTATATTAGCTTACTGATCAACAACATTTGCATAGAGGCATCACTCCAGCATGTAGGCACTGCTGTTAGTTTGAGAATATAAAATAACATCCAATCATTGCAAATGGGTCCAACGTAACGTCATGATTTGTGATCACGGATGCTTATGAAACTAGTATTTTTTTTGTCCTTTTCTGTTATCTAAACAACTCAACTGCCAGGACAAAATTCGAAACAACTCTCTCCATCGCTCATATCACTTGGTGCGGTTTACTGCTACTATGACAACTAGCTCAATGGCGATGGCATTTGCTAGTCACAGTCACTCGCTGTCATTATTTATTTTTTTAAACAGCGCAACAAATCTGAGCCCAGCACAATCAAATCAATCGCAGTCTGACTCCCTCTAGTCATTTGTGTGTCTTAATTATTTCATCAAACAGTGTGCTTAAAGCATCAGACAAGCTCAGTGCATATATTTGAATACATAGAATTGTGAGAATTGCAATAAATATCGTATCGACACCTAAGTATCGTGATATCATATCGTGAGGTCCCTGGCAATTCCCAGCCCTAATAGTGAATAAGCTAGGCCATAGGCAACTTCAACAGGTTGAGTGAGATGACATTGTAAGCCAATTAATGTACTACAATAGCTGCTAGTGATGTTGAGCAAACCTGGTAAGTATGTTGGCCTGACATAAACTAAAAGACTAATTGACAACAAGTGTCAAGAGCTTCAACATCAAAATTATTGATATGAAAACAAGGTCTTGGTTCCTGTCTTTGTTCTGTCCATAGAAATAGATAATCTAGAAAGGGTTTGGAACCTTTAACACTCAGTCTAGTTCTGTGGTTCCATCTCAGAGGCTGTAGTACAGTAGCATCATTTGTTATTTCTTTGTAGTAATAGGCTACAGTATGAAGCCTAATAAAGTCATTGTCTGTTATGCTCTAGGTGTGTGTGTGTGTGTTTGTGTAGTGTAGAAAAAGTGCAGGCGTGGCTACAGATCAGAGCTAAGGGAAAGGTTAGCACTGCCGCTGAGAGAAGTGTGTGTGTGTGTGTGTGTGTGTGTGTGTGTGTGTGTGTGTGTAATCTTTGGGAGGGAGCGGTCTTCAAAGCACAAGACTCATAAAACTTTTAAGGGTAAAAAGGGGTCCTGTCGATCCCCTTAATGACAAAGAGACAAGCTTAAAGGCCCAATGAAGCAGTTGTTATATCAAATCATTTCTGTAACATTCTCCATTAAAATGGTCAAAAATAAAGAAAATGGCTTCATTAGCAAAAAATAAACTCAAACAAGAATTTGTCTAGGATTGTCTGGGAGTGGTCTGAGTGGGGAAGGGAAATCTGGAAACTAGCTTTTATTGGCATAGGTTTGTAACTCTTTTTGTTATTGATCTATTAACTACTTTTCCCCTGGTGATGTCATCAGGCAAGCTGAATCTCCACCCATGCAAAACCTACTGATTAGAAGGTATTGTATAGATTGTATTTTCAACCAGCAACTATTTTTACAGTGTTAGTTTCATCAGCTGTTGTACAATATGATACAAAACACAGGAAAAACTGAATGTTGACTGCACTGGGCCTTTAATTTATATTTTTATTTGACCTTTACTTAACTAGGCAAGTCAGTTAAGAACAAATTCTTATTTACAATGACGGCCTACACCGGCCAAACCCGGACGACGCTGGGCCAATTGTGCGCCGCCCTATGGGACTCCCAATCACGGCCGGTTGTGATACAGCCTGGAATTGAACCAGGGGGTCTGTAGTGACGCCTCAAGCACTGAGATCCAGTGCCTTAGACCACTGCGCCACTCGGGAGCCCATAATATTACTCTGTAGGTAAATTTTGTACTGTCTCTTCTCAGTAACAGTTATGTTTACTCAACAGCACTGACATATGATAACTGTCAACTCTATTAGGCTACTAATAAAATGAGAGAAAATAGATGGTGAATATAAAAATTACATCAATAAAAATGTGACAGACTGTATCACTGTGAACTAGGCCTACAGCAAAGCATCAATCACCGAATGACCTTTGACTCAACCCAGAACTATTATAATGAAATGAGAGAAAGGGGCTGGATGTTTAATATCAAAATACATTACTGTATAAAATAATAGTTGGTTGTATCAAAGCAGGCAGCTTCTTTGTGTTTTCTTTTGGGAATGGTCCCTCAAATAGGGTCGTCACTAGTTACCACAGCCACAAAGTCATAAACCCTGCTTATTTTTTCAATTTCTCTTCTTAAAATGTGATTTTAAACCTAACCTTATCCACACTGCTTTTATTTATTTTTATTTCACCTTTATTTAACCAGGTAAGCCAGTTGAGAACAAGTTCTCATTTACAACTGCGACCTGGCCAAGATAAAGCACGATAACATAAGACCAAAACACTCATTTTTGTTTTCATGTATTTTTACAATATAGACAAATTTGACTGTGGGTGTGGTAACTAGTGGAAACCCCTAAAATAGGGTATTAAGTAGGCTATCAATCATGTCTTGGATAAAGGCAACAATGCAACACAGCACTGGGGTCTGGGGTTGCCTGGCGCCTCATACCTAATTTAATTTTGCTGCTCTACCTATCGGTATGTACATTCAGTCAGACTGCCATCGTAGAAGTCCTTTCTGCTGACGTCAAAGTGAGGGGCGTTGTACAAAACAAGTCATCAGCGATTGGATCATCTCTAACCAATCAGAGTATCAAAGGCAATGGCTATTTCTGAAATGAAGCTTTACCCGCATGCGTTCAGGCTCTGGACCAACCCATCGGTTACTGGGACCAATCAGAACGGTTTGACTGTGTTCGCATTCGAGAAGTCCTCAGGCAGGAGATCAAATCCAGACTCATGGTGGAGAAGAAATGTGAGTGGTCGTGGCCGGAGCGATGTGGATTGGTCGCCAGGCAAAATTTGGGGTGCATCAAGTGTCAGAATCCCAACTATAAACATGGTCACAGAAAGGAGAGGACTAAACTACTGGCCCGCAGTGGGTGTGATGTCATTGTTTGTTTATTCTTTAAAATTCCTCTTCAAAATCATACATGTAGCCAAAGGTTTGAAACAAACATGAGCTAGTTAATAATATGCAGGTGACCGAACCGAAGGAGCACTCTCTCTCTCCAACTCCAGAAAAATAACTTGTGGGCGAATTCATGCTGTAGAAAAAGCACATAAGGTCAAGGGTCACGCAGCGCAGCAACTTTCCAGTTATTTTTCATCACTGACTGACTGACACTATAAATGTATCATTCCAGATTCCACTCCATGGAACGGAAACCAGAAAGGAGATGAACCAAGGAGAGGAACCAAGTTTGGGATGAATGACAGGCAGTGCAACAGATGATATACAGAAAATGAGAAGGCTGGACACCATTTTCCTCTGATTATCATGAGGATCCAGCAGCACCCCCATATTTAGGAAATAAATATTTTACATTTTAGTCATTTAGCAGACGCTCTTATCCAGAGCGACTTACAATTATTGAGTGCATACATTTTTCATACTGGCCCCCCATGGGAAATGAACCCACAACCCTTGCGTTGCAAGCGCCATGCTCTACCAACTGAGCTACAGGAGGGCCAATTTTGCTGTGAGCATGGGCATGGGTGAGTGAGCCCATCAACATACCTGTTTTTTCAGTGCACTAGACAATGAAAGAGGCTAATGAAACAGGCTAATGAAAGATAGTTCTGGAACAAAACCTAGGCCCAACTCCATCTGTCAATATTTAAATCCTATAACCTAATCCGTCATCATTGATTTCCTCCACCACCACCACCATCATCATCATCATCATCATCATCATCATCATCATCATCATCATCATCACTGTAGCTTTCCTCAATTCACATGCCAATTGTTAAGCCTCTACTGGTATAATGTAGCCTATAGCCACAGTCAGTGGACATCTTGAGCAAAGCAAGCAGTCACTACTACCAATCCTGCCAAGTCTTCCCATGTTGTTGCGTCATATTTGCTCAAGACTGGCCAATTTTCTTCATCTCTGTCCTCTCCTTTTGAGGATTGCATAAGCATACGCATCTTACACCATAGGAATAGAGGGAATAATATATAGGCTTTGATATGATACAATCACCACAATTGTGCAAATACATTTAGCTGCCATATTTGTGCTTGATTGGGGGTTAAGGACTTTGGAACAATCTCCCCATGTTCACTCCTGAATCAATACATGAATGAATGACATACAGTCACAGTTTATTTCTGCTCTCTTTCCCTTGCATATGTTTTTTTATATTACAAAGCATTTAGCTAACTATGTAGGCTTAGCAACTATCTCAAAAATTAGTACAACCAATAGGCCTAATACTACGCAGCTCCTGTAATTTTTCTCTACATTTGACAGTTATGGTAAGAGATGCACTGGTGAGGTGGCAGGCAGCTAGCTACATAACCAGCCAACAGCACAAGCAGGATGTAACCGTGCCAATAACAAATCCGTGGAAAGAGAGATTATCGATAAAACCGGTGCCACAGTTCGTGGAAGTCAAGTTACGTTCCAAGATCACGATTGATTTGCGTAAGAACGAGACACAAGCCAACCTGTGTGTGTCTGATACAGCAGCAAACGGTGGGGTGGTCCTGCTGTTCTTGTCAAAGCCACATAGTTAGCTAGCCAGCCTACGAACTGGCTAACATAAACTAGCTAGTTGGCTATTAAGGGAAAAGTAGCCACAAATAGCTAGCTATTTTTAATGTAGTGTCGCCCTTGTCGTGCTAACAAAACCTGTAAGCAAGCTAGCTAAATCATTTCAACTGGTCATGATATCAAAACACGAAACGTCAACACAGCAAGCTAACGCAGAAGCTAGGCTGGAAAACATTTTTTGCAGCCATTCAGTCAAATCAAGGAGCAAACAACTATGACAACGTCATATGTAGGTAAAATTCTGGTAGTGGAAACAATTATCAGTCTCAGTTGCTAGATGGCCTTTTTATTTATACAAAAAAAACAAGAACACCCGAGCGTTCTGACTGTGCGGTTCCCGTAGGCCCCACCAAAGCAGCTGTCAGACTTGGAACACCGTCCCGACCATTGCGAACTTATCACGGGAAACAAGCTGCAGCAAGGACGCAACCCCACTATCGCGCTGCTCAATACAGTACCTACCGTCTTCAACTGTACTGACACCCAAATAAGGACTATTATGTTAAAATCGTTCTTTAGTTTACAGATTGACACTTGGGCATTCGAGGCCGTCTTCTAGCCTAACATTTTCGCAGCGCCCTTTTCTCGCTCTCGTAGTGAAATTAGAAAAAATAAAACACATTCTCAAAACAGCGGCCATTCCGAACGAAGCTTGAACAAAAGAGTGCGTTCTCAGCCTACGGAAAGGCAGTACTGCGTCATCAACCAAGCTAAGCGGATGACAAAGGGGACATTTAAGAACCCTACTATAAAAACATAAGCTTGATTTAAGGGTATATTGAAAGGTTGAAATAATATAACTGTTTTACCTTCAGAGGTGTGACTCGGCCATCCCTGCTTCCTCCTCTTTCCTACTGCTGTTGCTTGGATCCCCTCCCTACGACCAAATTGCGTCACACGCACGCATTACCAATGTATCACGAGACTTGAACAGAAAAAGGTGTTTGGGTGAGCGCAAGGAGTAAGTGAAAGTGGTAAAAAATGTGTAATTAGCTACCTGACATATTTATTGTCATCATTAAAGTGTCAAAGTCAGAAACCCCGGAATATTACAATACCACCTCCAGTATAAATACCTCCACTCCAAGCTTTTTCCTGGGAGTGAAAATGCATGTTTGAAGCAAGCATATATTGCTAGTAGGTTTAGTATAAATTCGTGTATATTCGTATTCAAACAGTTAGTTAGAATAATAATGCACATCCAAAAAGGTTGGATTAGGTCTGCTCCATGAGCATCTATTTTAGCCACTACCAGAGCTGCCAACTCTCATGCATTGGCGGTGAGACACGCATTTGACTCTTTTCTCATGCTCTCATGGCACACCTTTTATATCACACGCATTGAAAAGTACTGATTTTATTTGTCTAATTAGTCCATTGTATAGTCAGCGCGTTCACTTTTCAACTGTGCTCCAAATCGTTTTGAAATCGTAGCATCTGCGCCTGCAATTTAACATCACGAGCGGAACCTCTATCGTTGTCTTGTTTTGTCACAGCACTGTGAACCGTGGCAAATTGAAGCATATGATTGGTCTAGTTATGTAAGGCATCAAGGGGATTGGATGCATGTTTTAAAGAAACGCCCCTCAAGATTAGAGTGGAGCTGAATAGAGAGAGAGAACGTTATCCGCTGAGTTGATAAAACTGTAAAAAGAGCACCACCGTAGCGCTGTTTTATGTACAAAGTTGTCAACAAAATTAGGTTGCTGTTACTCCCGTCCTTATTGCAGAATGCAGCCTTTAGACAGCATGTACTAAAATCGATGTAATCCACGTTTGCATTAGTCCCCTCATTTGGTGATTGGCATTTAGGCTGTGACAACGAACAGGTAGCAGACAGACCCACACAGTTTTAGCAGGAAGTTTGCTAGGGTGACCTGATTTGTAACTATAAAAAATAATTTTGTCAAACAGATTGCCAACCTAATAGTGTAGATTGCCCCTACACGCAAATTATTTGCTTTGCGGGTAGGGGCAGATTTATGTCGTCTTCAGGAGATTTTATTATCTATCTCATTCTTAACAATTGGATAAAATATAGGGTAATTACTGTGGTTGTCAGCAAGACAACTGTTATTCCCCACACTTATTTTATTATTCTGCTTCTTCCCAATTTTGCCAGTGTAATCAAATATTTGAAATCTGATAGGCCTACTTGTGTCTTTGAAAATGAATTATATGAGGCTATGTATTTTTTCAGCCAATCATGGACAGTTTTGAATAAGTCATACAAATAAGCATTGGATATTAAATGCTCTAGGAATCAAATATAATTTTTGACATTTTAGTATTGTGCGCATGCTAGGCAGAGATGGTAGGGGGACTCACAACTCATAAACGTATCATGTCAAATTAGTTTATGCCTACTAGTTGAAGATCCAAAATTGTCTATGTAGAGTAAGATGATGCCAAGGATGTTCAACTAGTAGGTATAAACCACCTGAATATTGATATTCATTCGATTTTTCTTGAAGGTTGGGTGATTTTGAGAAATTAATTGTTATAACAAGAACATTTTCAAACATATAGCACTTGGAAAATATACAGGGTCAGGGGTGGCCAACCTCCTTGGAGAGCAAACAGGATTTTCTTCCAGACCAATTTTAAAGAGATAGTTCACCCAAATTACAAAATACACAATGTTTGTGTCCTCACCTTGAAAGCAGTCTATGGACAAGGAGACTGCAATCTATAATTTGGTTACCCACTGCCATGAACCATTAATATTAACATTTCCTGTGGAGAGCCTTGGTGTAGTGGTACTTGTCCTTGGCACATGTCACACACAACTTTCCACCTGAGAACAGGGATCAATCCCTACTTCAAGTCAAATCAAATCAAATGTTATTTGCCACATGCGCCGAATAAAACAGGTGTAGACATTATTGTGAAATATTTACTTACAGCCCTTAACCAACAATGCATTTATTTCTTAATAAAAAAGTAAAATAAAACAACAACAAAAAAAAGTGTTGAGAAAAAAAGAGCAGAAGTAAAATAAAATAACAGTAGGGAGGCTATATACAGGGGGGTACCGGTGCAGAGTCAATGTGCGGGGGCACCGGCTAGTTGAGGTAGTTGAGATAACATGTACAGTGAGGGAAAAAAGTATTTGATCTCCTGCTGATTTTGTACGTTTGCCCACTGACAAAGAAATGATCAGTCTATAATTTTAATGGTAGGTTTATTTGAACAGTGAGAGACAGAATAACATAAACATAAATCCAGAAAAACGCATGTCAAAAATGTTATAAATTGATTTACATTTTAATGAGGGAAATAAGTATTTGACCCCTCTGCAAAACATGACTTAGTACTTGATGGCAAAACCCTTGTTGGCAATCACAGAGGTCAGACGTTTCTTGTAGTTGGCCACCAGGTTTGCACACATCTCAGGAGGGATTTTGTCCCACTCCTCTTTGCAGATCTTCTCCAAGTCATTAAGGTTTCGAGCCTGACGTTTGGCAACTCGAACCTTCAGCTCCCTCCACAGATTTTCTATGGGATTAAGGTCTGGAGACTGGCTAGGCCACTCCAGGACCTTAATATGCTTCTTCTTGAGCATGATAGGAAAGAGCTCGATTTTGGTCTCATCTGACCACAACACTTTCACCCAGTTCTCCTCTGAATCATTCAGATGTTCATTGCAAACTTCAGACGGGCCTGTATATGTGCTTTCTTGAGCAGGGGGACCTTGCGGGTGCTGCAGGATTTCAGTCCTTCACGGCGTAGTGTGTTACCAATTGTTTTCTTGGTGACTATGGTCCCAGCTGCCTTGAGATCATTGACAAGATCCTCCTGTGTAGTTCTGGGCTGATTCCTCACCGTTCTCATGATCATTGCAACTCCACGAGGTGAGATCTTGCATGGAGCCCCAGGCCGAGGGAGATTGACAGATCTTTTGTGTTTCTTCCATTTGTGAATAATCGCACCAACTGTTGTCACCTTCTCACCAAGCTGCTTGGCGATGGTCTTGTAGCCCATTCCAGCCTTGTGTAGGTCTACAATCTTGTCCCTGACATCCTTGGAGAGCTCTTTGGTCTTGGCCATGGTGGAGAGTTTGGAATCTGATTGATTGATTGCTTCTGTGGACAGGTGTCTTTTATACAGGTAACAAGCTGAGATTAGGAGCACTCCTTAAAGAGTGTGCTCCTAATCTCAACTCGTTACCTGTATAAAAGACACCTGGGAGCCAGAAATCTTTCTGATTGAGAGGGGGTCAAATACTTATTTCCCTCATTAAAATGCAAATCAATTCATAACATTTTTGACATGCGTTTTTCTGGATTTTTGTTGTTGTTATTCTGTCTCTCACTGTTCAAATAAACCTACCATTAAAATTATAGACTGATCATTTCTTTGTCAGTGGGCAAACGTACAAAATCAGCAGGGTATCAAATACTTTTTTCCCTCACTGTACATGTGGGTAGAGTTACTTCCAACCTTCCCACTGTTTCTAGCATTTGCATGTCTCCCTATCTCATTTCATTATTGTATGAATAAAGTGTCAAACAACTTAAAAAATATGTTAACAAAAATATTAGCATACTTTCAATTTCAAAGTAACATAGTCGTTCAACTTTGAGTGTTCATTTAATGTTCAATGCCTCCTGAATACACCTGACCTGTGTTATTATTATTATTTTACCCTGGTCATATGTTTAAATTAAATTATGTAAAGAAAATACGTAACTTATCTCTTTATCACATTAATATGATGTGTAGTGTTTGGAGATTTTATGAACTCAATATAAACTTCCTACTGTGCCCACTAGATGGCTGTAATGCGATGCACTGTATCTAAACCGGTTCGTAATACCATAGAAGAAGAAAACGCTAGCTAACAATCCTGGAAGTGGACATAAATTGTTTTGTTTGGCTTGGCAACCTGAACTACACAGCCAGTTGAATAATACAGTAAATGTGATAGGAAAGCATCCAACAGGAAAGTGTGATTGTTGTCAGGAAACAGAGACGGTGGAGCATGTATTGCTACAGTGTGGGCAGTATCAGAGGGAAAGAGAGAGGATGAGATCTAGTATGAGGGAGAAGGGGATACAGGAAATTAGTTTAAATAGTATATTTTTACAATTAAGTCATTTAGCAGACGCTCTTATCCAGAGCGACTTACAGTTAGTGAGTGCATACATTTTTCATACTGGCCCCCGTGGGAAACGAACCCACAGCAATGGCGTTGCAAGCGCCATTCTCTACCAACTGAGCTACATATATTGAGAGGAACGTCATTAGATATAGTGTAAAATATTTTGTTATCTTTTTTTAAGAGCAACGGGGCTGGCATGTAGGATTTACTTCCTCCCTGTCTCTGGCCCACACTCCAGTACAGTTAGTGGCAGTAATGCACCATAACGTTGGATGCCAACCGCCGATAAACCCCACTGAAGAAGAAGAAGAAGAAGCAGAAGAAGGCAGCAACCTGAACCTGTCAATTGAGGTAATGGTATGGTTATAAATCAATTTCGTGACGTTTTCGTGTAGATAACATCACGTACCTATATGAGATTGATGGATAAATATGTTTTTAATCATCAGTGACATAAATCGTGTGTGTGCAGGAATGGCTGTTCTTGTGATGCAAATTTAGCTAGTAGTAGCTAACTAAGCTCATTAGCTACAGTAACTAGCCATATTATCGTGCCGTAATCTTTTGTCAGATGTCAACTATAATTATTCATGCTTTTATTTCAGCTGGACCTAACAAGACATAATGCCTGAAGTCAAGTCGATGTTCAGAGAAGTGTTGCCCAAACAAGGTGAGTAACGACCATTATCAATAAAGACTGTGTGGGCGGCAGGTAGTTTAGTGGTTAAGAGCGTTGTGCCAGTAACCGAAAGGTCGCTGGTTGTAATCCCCAAGCCGACTAGGTGAAAAATCTGTCGATGTGCCCTTGAGCAAGGCACTTAACCATAATTGCTCCTGTAAATCGCTCTGGATAAGAGCGTCTGCTAAATGACTAAAATGTAAATGTAAATGGTATAAATGAGCAATTTCGTCTATCTATCATGCAACCCAATACAGACACCCCATTCACTGCACTGCTGCAGTAACGTTAGGTGCTCTAAAATACTGTAAACAAATTCCTTTCAGTAGAAGGAACATTTCGAAACACTGCCAAGTGTGTGGCAACTGCCAACCGATGTTCTGTTCCTTCAGGTTTTTACTCCTACAGAAAATACCTCTCTGCCATCTACTGTTGAAACCGGTCACTGACCCCAAAAGATCCACCTACACATAGCCCACCAGCTTTTTTCTCTTTACCTGAAAACGTAGCTACAGTATGTTCAGTGGAAAACTGCACAGTACTACACAATAGAGTATACCATGTTGATATAGTGTGATGAATTATGCAGATTTTATTGATCATAGTAATGAGTCTATTCTATAAAGACAGTCTTGTAAAGTGTAAGAGTTGGTTAATTCCTATTATTGTGGCACACAGGAAACCTGGGTTCCTGTCTGTGTTATCATTTATTTTCTTTATGCATTCTGATAACTAGAAGACAAGCCTGTAATTTCTCACTCTTGGTTTTGCTACCATTCAAAGGGCAGTTGTCCATGGAGGACGTCCCCACCATGGTGCTGTGTAAGCCCAAGCTGCTGCCTCTGAAATCAGTGACCCTGGAGAAACTGGAGAAGATGCAACTGGAGGCCCAGGAGGCCATCAAGCAACAGGATCTGGCACTGAAAGCGCAGCAGTAGCCACAGTAGACACGCAATGGCAGCTCAAGGAGTAGTAGGGTCAGTAGACACAAAATGGACGATAGCCGGAGTAGTTTATTATCAAGCAACAGGAACTGGCACTGAATGAGCAGCAGGAGCCACAGTAGACACACAATGGAGGACTCTAGCTACACCAGTAGACACAAAATGAACGATAGCCAGAAGTTTCAAGATGGATACGATGGAGGGCAGAGGTTCACACTAGTCACAACTAGGGCTGTTGCGGTGACCGTATTACCGCCACACGGGCGGTCACGAGTCATGAAGGCAGTCAAATTCCACATGACTGTTTAGTCATGGTAAATAGGCTTTTCCAAGCTCTGATGCTGCTGCTGGTCATTAGTAGCCTACCAAACTTTTTTCCTGCTGTCCCTGTTTCGATACATGTGCATGATAATGGTCCATTCTAAATCAAAACAAATGTCACACATATATTATTTAGTATATGTAAAGACAAGATTAAATCAAGAATAATCTGATGGGTGACAATATTAGCCTATCACTTGTGAATTATACACTGCTCAAAAAAATAAAGGGATGTAACTCCAAGTCAATCACACTTCTGTGAAATCAAACTGTCCACTTAGGAAGCAACACTGATTGACAATGCATTTCACATGCTGTTGTGCAAATGGAATAGACAACAGGTGGAAATTATAGGCAATTAGCAAGACACCCCCAATAAAGAAGTGGTTCTGCAGGTTGTGACCACAGACCACTTCTCAGTTCCCATGCTTCCTGGTTGATGTTTTGGTCACTTTTGAATGCTGGCAGTGCTTTCACTCTAGTGGTAGCATGAGACGGAGTCTACAACCCACACAAGTGGCTCAGGTAGTGCAGCTCATCCAGGATGGCACATCAATGCGAGCTGTGGCAAGAAGGTTTGCTGTGTCTGTCAGCATAGTGTCCAGAGCATGGAGGCGCTACCAGGAGACAGGCCAGTACATCAGGAGACGTGGAGGAGGCCGTAGGAGGGCAACAACCCAGCAGCAGGACCGCTACCTCCGCCTTTGTGCAAGGAGGAGCAGGAGGAGCACTGCCAGAGCCCTGCAAAATGACCTCCAGCAGGCCACAAATGTGCATGTGTCTGCTCAAACGGTCAGAAACAGACTCCATGAGGGTGGTATGAGGGCCCGACGTCCACAGGTGGGGGTTGTGCTTACAGCCCAACATCGTGCAGGACGTTTGGCATTTGCCAGAGAACACCAAGATTGGCAAATTCGCCACTGGCGCCCTGTGCTCTTCACAGATGAAAGCAGGTTCACACTGAGCACGTGACAGACGTGACAGAGTCTGGAGACGCCGTGGAGAACATTCTGCTGCCTGCAACATCCTCCAGCATGACCGGATTGGCGGTGGGTCAGTCATGGTGTGGGGTGGCATTTCTTTGGGGGGCCGCACAGCCCTCCATGTGCTCGCCAGAGGTAGCCTGACTGCCATTAGGTACCGAGATTAGATCCTCAGACCCCTTGTGAGACCATATGCTGGTGCGGTTGGCCCTGGGTTCCTCCTAATGCAAGACAATGCTAGACCTCATGTGGCTGGAGTGTGTCAGCAGTTCCTGCAAGAGGAAGGCATTGATGCTATGGACTGGCCCGCCCGTTCCCCAGACCTGAATCCAATTGAGCACATCTGGGACATCATGTCTCGCTCCATCCACCAACGCCACGTTGCACCACAGACTGTCCAGGAGTTGGCGGATGCTTTAGTCCAGGTCTGGGAGGAGATCCCTCAGGAGACCATCCGCCACCTCATCAGGAGCATGCCCAGGCGTTGTAGGGAGGTCATACAGGCACGTGGAGGCCACACACACTACTGAGCCTCATTTTGATTTGTTTTAAGGACATTACATCAAAGTTGGATCAGCCTGTAGTGTGGTTTTCCACTTTAATTTTGAGGGTGATTCCAAATCCAGACCTCCATGGGTTGATAAATTTGATTTCCATTGATAATTTTTGTGTGATTTTGTTGTCAGCACATTCAACTATGTAATGAAAAAGTATTTAATAAGATTATTTCATTCATTCAGATCTAGGATGTGTTGTTTAAGTGTTCCCTTTATTTTTTTGAGCAGTGTATATTATCACTTGTGAATGATGCCCAGCACAAGAAACATTGCCTTTTTTTTGCGACTTGTTCGAATCATAGTCGCACACCTCATGTAGCCTAGCCCATAGGCCTATATGTTTTAATAAGGTTTGTATCACAACTAAAGTGGCCAAATAACTTCTTAAAATTAAGCACATTAATCCACTTTACAAGGGGTGTAGAGCCTAACTGGCATATATAAGCAGCGTGTGAGTTTCAAGTTTGGGGAAGATAATTTTCACCATAAAAATGCACCTTTATAATGAAATAATTTCATTTGCGGTCACTTTTGATAATGGTGTTTTCTGCTAATGGAACATTCGCGCTTATAGTCTACTACCATGTGCGCATTGCTGCGCTTATAATGTGAAGAAATACCCAAATAGTTTATCAACATTTTAAGCTAAATGTTCTGATCTGTTGCATCAATATGCACCTCAGAATTGGATAAGGACGCGCGCAGTTGGGTCCCGGATGTGTCGGTCTTAACTTGTAGCCTGTGAGAAAGACCCGATCACGTGACGGAGAGCCGTGTGAGTGACAGACGCTTCGGATTGCGCAGCACACTCAGGGAGAAGGGCACTACACAGCACACTCAGGGAGAAGGGCACTACACAGCACACTCAGGGAGAAGGGCACTACACAGCACTCCGGGCCGCAAAAGGAATGGAGTTTTTTAGGGTGCATTACGGCCACAAAGGGGATGCCGCGGTGAAATTCAAAGCATTATCAAGTGCTTGTCAAATTGTGAATGAGAGATTATTGGAGTGTGTACAGCCTGCGCAAAAAAACAAAGCAGAGCTCATGCCTTTCAAGTGACTTTTTTCAAATCATAATTAGTCTCATCATGCAGCCTTACAATGTATTAAAAATCAAAACATATAGCCCAACGTTTGTAGAACAACTAAAGTTACATTAATAACCTCCCGAGTGGTGCAGTGGTCTAAGGCACTGCATCGCAGTGCTAGCTGTGCCACTAGAGATCCTGGTTCGAATCCAGGCTCGTAGCCGGCCGCGACCGGGAGACCCATGGGGCGGCGCACAATTGGCCCAGCGTCGTTCAGGGTAGGGGAAGGAATGGCTGGCAGGGATGTAGCTCAGTTGGTAGAGCATGGCGTTTGCAACGCCAAGGTTGTGGGTTCGATTCCCATGAGGGGCCAGTATGAAAAATATAAAAAATTATGTATGCACTCACTAACTGTAAGTCGCTCATGGATAAGAGCGTCTGCTAAATGACTAAAATGTAAATGTAAATTAAGCATATAGGAGTACATATTTCTTTGTTAACCGCTCAACACAGAATAGCCGCATGTGTGCACTCTCATCGTTTGGAGAAAATATTTCTATTTTATTCAGCTTTGTTCAATTGTATTCTTCATACTATAAAATAATTCCATGGAATTATAAGCAAATCTTGTCTGCTAAATGAACTAGTGTAGCCCACAACCATTTGGCATAGCCACATCAGGACCTAACATAAGGACAATTCGGAGTATGCTATTATTTTCTTCTGAAATAGACAATATTTTCTTCATATCATGCTTCTTTAGAACTGTCTAAAATAAATAATGGATTTATTGTGAAGGTGTAGGCTATATTACATGGATTTATTAGACTTTTACAAATGTCTTGTAGGCTGTGTGTGGAAGCCAGGAGATGCTAAATGTGTTTGTTAATTAACGGTCAATTACCGTGAGACCGACAGTTATTTGCTTGACAATCACCGGCTGACAATTTGGTGACCACCACAGCCCTAGCCACAACCTAATATTGCAACATATCACTGTTGGCATCAATCTCTCATAATAGATTATTTTGATTGCTGAGAATGTATACTAGCCTTGTAAATGTTATTTCTGAGAGGAAAGTTGAATTGGAGTCTAGGTAAATGTAACATTTCTCTTGATGTTAGTTGTGAATAAGTTCTACAAATGAAACAACTATATTTATTTCCCCTTTATGACGGTACTAGATTTAGATCACACCATGATTCTCAAGTCCTCTTTCATCCACCCACACAGATACATTGACAATAGCATACATTTTGTATAGCAATTTATTGAACTTCAGACAAACCGGGAACAATTAGACTTGGTACATTACTTCACAACAGTATTCCCCAAATATAAAAATAAACATTCTGGACACCATTTTGTTGTGAAATGATCGCAACCAGATCCCAATCTCTTAGCTTTAAACTAATTGAATGTGTTTTATTAATTGCCTTGAGTAATGACATCTGTCAGTAATTTAAAGGGGAGAAGAAAAAAACTCAAGCACAGCATAGAAATAGACTAGCCTGGTACCCAGATCTGTTTGTGCCATCTTGCACAAATTCCTATGGTAGAAGTTGTGTAAAACAGCACAAACAGATCTTGAAACCAGGCTAGAAACAGACAGCAGCTGGTGAGGGAAGGTATTGCTTTGAACCAACGATCTGCCCCCTTTTCATTATAAAGCTTTATGCACAAACCATTTAAATTCCTGTACAAATACTGCTTTTAATCTAGAACACAAGACAAAGGAGTGGCAGTGAAATAAATCAAGAGAAAATATAAAAACAACATGGAATGACTCGTTGAGGTTTGGCACTTTCTGGGTTTTAGCTTATACATGTATACTCAAACACCTTAGTGGTGTATCGTCTTAACTTTTCTTTAACTAAAGAACAAAGCGCCATTTTACGATTTTTATTTTATTTTTTTACATTCTTTCACTTAAGGAAAACAATAACAGTTTTGTACCCAACCATTATGACAAAATATGGATCATAGTAAAAAGTAGCTTCAGTTTTGCAGAACATCTCTGGCACAAAATGGCTCCTTAGTAGCTTTCCAGTTTGAAGCGACCGCCGTCCCCCTCGCTCACAAACCTCTTCCGGCCCCTGTGAAAATAGACAAAATCAGTACATCCACATCAATCATAAAACATGGATTTGTGTGTGTATGTAATAGCAAATGAAAAGATACTTACCGGCAAGGACAACGATCCCTCAGCTTTTCACCGATGACACCCGCACTGAAACTCTTGTCGACAAACTGCTCCAAGATGAAGTACGCACGGGGGACGTCGATGTTGATTTCAGCTATGTCCATGTAAACTCTTTCATATCCCTGCAAATAAGATAATTATCACGTCATTTTCAATGTACTTCCAATGAAAAAACAAAGTGTGGAACATTTTATAGATCAAATCAATGGTAAACAAAAATGCAGTGGATTGATAAATTGATTGGTTGATTTTTTAGGTACAAAGTAGTCCCCTGTAGCTGAGTTGGTAGAGCATGGCGCTTGCAACGCCAGGGTTGTGGGTTCGCTTCCCACGGGGGTCCAGTATGAAAAATGTATGCACTCACTAACTGTAAGTCGCTCTGGATAAGAGCGTCTGCTAAATGACTAAAATGTAAATGTAAGTATTATACAACACATTGGTCCTCAAACCACAGTACATCGTTTCAACACCAGGTGGCGCCATTGGCACTGCAGTAGTATAATGTGACCACTAGGTTGTGCCCAAGCTCACCCTTCTCATTTGGTCCACAGTGATGACGGAGGACACCCACAGAAACTTCAGCAGCTGCAGAACCATTTGGAACGTTCTCTCTCCTTTGGATTCCAGGACCATGACTATGGCCTATTGATAATAGGAAGAAAAGATGAATAACTTTTGTTACAATCAACTAAGGAAAATTCAGTATGTTTGTCAATGTATTTGATATTCTCAAGCAATACAACCCTCCATGGTAAATTGAACAGTGAGTACATTTCCAATGCACCTACAGGTAATACGTTCATATAAGATAATAATTACAGTTAACAAGTGAACATGAAAACTGTGGAAAGAAAAACAAGATAGCGGATGCCGTAAGTTACCTCATAGACAAACTCATGGTGGAAGTGTGGTACCTCCAGTTCTCTCAGACACCTCTCTGCTTCCTTGTTGTCTCCAGACAGGAGATACTCCTTCAGCAACAGGGTCATCTGATACAGAAAAGGGGATATCCAAAGTCAATGTATGCCCATTGTACACCTGAGGTTCATAGATAACAACAAAAGGCCTGCTCACAGATAGGGAATAGGAAGAATACATGAAACTAAGCCATAGTTCAGTAATGGCTGAGATGTTCAGGTGAAGGGTGGCTTGACCATTACGGCTACTCTGATGTATATGTGTCGATATCGTGATCACTGGAGACATCAGTGAAACTCTAAAGCGGGTCTTGATGACATCACCCTTCCATAGTGTAAGCTCAATTAAATTACATTAACTTACATTTGGAGAACAGACATGATTTAAATAGCTGTCATACATAGAGGACAGAGCATACAGAACACACACTTGAAAAACAACAAAAATCCAGAAAATCACATTGTATGATTTTTAAGTAATTAATTTGCATTTTATTGCATGACATAAGTATTTGATCACCTACCAACCAGTAAGAATTCCGGCTCTCACAGACCTGTTAGTTTTTCTTTAAGAAGCCCTCCTGTTCTCCACTCATTACCTGTATTAACTGCACCTGTTTGAACTCGTTACCTGTATAAAAGACACCTGTCCACACACACTCAATCAAACAGACTCCAACCTCTCCACAATGGCCAAGACCAGAGCGCTGTGTAAGGACATCAGGGTTAAAATTGTAGACCTGCACAAGGCTGGGATGGGCTACAGGACAATAGCCAAGCAGCTTGGTTTAAAGTAATTAATTTGCTTTTTATTGCATGACATAAGTATTTGATACATCAGAAAAGAAGAACTTAATATTTGGTACAGAAACCTTTGTTTGCAATTACGACCAGGTTTGCACACACTGCAGCAGGGATTTTGGCCCACTCCTCCATACAGACCTTCTCCAGATCCTTCAGGTTTCGGGGCTGTCGCTGGGCAATACGGACTTTCAGCTCCCTCCAAAGATTTTCTATTGGGTTCAGGACTGGCTAGGCCACTCCAGGACCTTGAGATGCTTCTTATGGAGCCACTCCTTAGTTGCCCTGGCTGTGTGTTTCGGGTCGTTGTCATGCTGGAAGACCCAGCCACGACCCATCTTCAATGCTCTTACTGAGGGAAGGAGGTTGTTGGCCAAGATCTCGCGATACATGGCCCCTTCCATCCTCCCCTCAATACGGTGCAGTCGTCCTGTCCCCTTTGCAGAAAAGCATCCCCAAAGAATGATTTTTCCACCTCCATGCTTCACGGTTGGGATGGTGTTCTTGGGGTTGTACTCATCCTTCTTCTTCCTCCAAACACGGCGAGTGGAGTTTAGACCAAAAAGCTCTATTTTTGTCTCATCAGACCACATGACCTTCTCCCATTCCTCCTCTGGATCATCCAGATGGTCATTGGCAAACTTCAGACGGGCCTGGACATGCGCTGGCTTGAGCAGGGGGACCTTGCGTGCGCTGCAGGATTTTAATCCATGATGGCGTAGTGTGTTACTAATGGGTTTCTTTGAGACTGTGGTCCCAGCTCTCTTCAGGTCATTGACCAGGTCCTGCCGTGTAGTTCTGGGCTGATCCCTCACCTTCCTCATGATTATTGATGCCCCACGAGGTGAGATCTTGCATGGAGCCCCAGACCGAGAGTGATTAACCGTCATCTTGAACTTCTTCCATTTTCTAATAATTGCGCCAACAGTTGTTGCCTTCTCACTAAGCTGCTTGCCTATTGTCCTGTAGCCCATCCCAGCCTTGTGCAGGTCTACAATTTTAACCCTGATATCCTTACACAGCGCTCTGGTCTTGGCCATTGTGGAGAGGTTGGAGTCTGTTTGATTGAGTGTGTGTGGACAGGTGTCTTTTATACAGGTAACGAGTTCAAACAGGTGCAGTTAATACAGGTAATGAGTGGAGAACAGGAGGGCTTCTTAAAGAAAAACTAACAGGTCTGTGAGAGCTTCCGTCTCTCACAGTTGAAGTGTACCTATGATAAAAATTACAGACCTCTACATGCTTTGTAAGTAGGAAAACCTGCAAAATCGGCAGTGTATCAAATACTTGTTCTCCCCACTGTATAAACGAGCAGGTCTCACCTCTCTGACAAGCTGGGTGACAGGTCTCTGACCCCCACCTGTTCCCCAGAGGTTGTGGATGCGCAGGCCGCCCATACCCATCTTCAACAGCACTGCCGCTCGCTCCAAGGCCGCCCTATATGGAAAAACACCCACTCCAGGAGTTAGTATGGACACACTCTTCTGTCATAATTCATTCAATCATCCATCTCTACCGCCCTCTTTCATGGAATGATCCTTCCCTTAGTCATTCATTCTTCTGCCCGTTTATACCCTCTCTCCCTCATTCCAAACTCCCATAAACCATCTCTCAAGGGATGTATAGTTCTCTCAATGCATTCATAGAATGGAGTATTTCATTACATAAACTCTGCCTAGCAACAAGCCAACTCAACTATTCTGTAAACCATGTATGACACTCCCCCAAAAGCTTCACTCATTGTTCTCTGTGAATACACCCACGAAATTACAAGCTGAAACACTAACGTAACAATCCAGGGGTTCCCAAACTTTTTGGGGCCGGGGACCCCTTTTGTGATAGCAAATTCATCAGGTACACCCTCAATATCAGAACATCACTCCAACTTTAGAGTGCGATAAAAAATTGCATACAGGGAGTTGTACTATGATTGCTGCATCGCATGCCAAGTCTCAGGCCCTGGAAAATAACATTTTAAAGGCCACCCTCTGCATCGGAGAGAACATTTAGCTGTTTTAAAGCTAATTTCCAGCAACTCTACACATTTTGCCATGGGGCAAACAATTTTGCAGTTGAGTTGAAAAACTGGTATTGAGTTGAAAACTGGATCATTGATGGAGTATTGTGTATCCCTGTGAGCCTCCCAGGCCCTGTTGTGCATATATATATATATATATATAGATATAGATAGATAGTAAACCAACTCGACAACATTTCCATGACCATACCACATAGAAATGCGAGAAGGAGTTTCGTGTTTAACAAATAATGACGCCAACACAAACCTTGCATGTACACAGTCGACTCTCCCCTTGTAGCCGTCTAAGTAGCTCTTGGAGAGGATCTTGTCTTTGACAGCCCGGGCAATAAATTGGCCGACGAGCTGAAAGACAAAATAAAACACTTAACACACACACACTGAAGGGCACTGGTCTCGAAACACAGTTATTATCATTGGAACCTCTGTGGTCCACCCAAACCTACAGAACAGGAAGTTAGCTCTGCAAACAAAGAAATCTAAATAAAAAGAGGGCAGACTGAACTGTTGCCAAATAGCATGCCCATGGGCCTGAAATATCTTGACTGCAGCATGGAGTTCAATGTCATCTATTTGGAAATGAAGTATCACAAACACATGTAGGCGTAACTGCATAGCCATAAACCATTTATTACAGTACAATACACATTTTATAACCTAATTTGATAATGAGTTACTGCATAACCAAATATAGACAATAAATCGCCTACATTTAGCATCAAAGTAGGCCAATGGAGAGACCAGAGGCTGGATGGATGAGTAAAAACTTGTGTTGTTTGGGATGAGGTGACAGTGGCAGTGTTTGTTGACATGACTCAGAGAGATGAGAGATATAGAGAAAGCGACGGGGGGGGGGAAAGAGCCAGAGAAAAAGAGCTGGCCTTGCTGTTCTGGACTGGACAAAGCCTGTTGCTAACAAGCCATTGTGTCTGTGCAGACAACAGAGCTCTAAACTCATCTGACCAGAACCAGTCTGGAAAGAGAGAGAGGGATGAGAGAGAGACTACACAGCCAGGGGGAAGAACAGAGAGAGAGAGACTACACAGCCAGGGGGAAGAACAGAGAGAGAGACAGCACAGCCAGGGGGAAGAACAGAGAGAGAGAGACAGCACAGCCAGGGGGAAGAACAGAGAGAGAGACAGCACAGCCAGGGGGAAGAACAGAGAGAGAGACAGCACAGCCAGGGGGAAGAACAGAGAGAGAGAGACAGCACAGCCAGGGGGAAGAACAGAGAGAGAGAGACAGCACAGCCAGGGGAAGAAAAGAGAGAAGAGAGAGAGACAGCACAGCCAGGGGGAAGAACAAGAGAGAGAGAGAGACAGCACAGCCAGGGGGAAGAACAGAGAGAGAGAGACAGCACAGCCAGGGGGAAGAACAGAGAGAGAGAGAGACAGCACAGCCAGGGGGAAGAAACAGGAGAGAGAGAGAACGCCACAGCAGGGGGAAAACAGAGAGGAGAGAGAGACAGCACAGCCAGTGGGGAAGAACAGAGAAAGAGAGAGACCGCACAGCCAGGGGAAGAAACATAGAGGAGAGAGACAAGGCACAGCGCAGTGGGGAAGAACAGAGAGAGAGAGAGACAGCCCAGCCATGGGGAGAAACGAGAGAGAGAGAGAACAGCACATCCAGGGGAAAGAACAGAGAGAGAGAGAGACAGCACAGCCAGGGGGAAAAACGAAGGAGAGAGCAGACCACAGCCAGTGGGAAGAACAGAGAGAGAAGAGACCAGCCAGCCAGGGGGAAGAACAGAGAGAGAGAGACAGCACAGCCAGGGGGAAGAACAGAGAGAGAGAGACGAGCACGCCGTGGGAAGAACAGAGAGAGAGAGACATGCACAGCCAGGGGAAGAACAGAGAGAGAGAGACAGCCAGCCAGGGGAAGAACAAGAGAGAGAGACAGCACAGCCAGGGGAAGAACAGAGAGAGAGAGACAGCACAGCCAGGGGGAAGAAAGAGAGAAGAGAGACGCACAGCCAGGGGAAGAACAGAGAGAGAAGACAGCACAGCCAGGGGGAAGAACAGAGAGAGAGAGACAGCACAGCCAGGGGGAAGAACAGAGAGAGAGAGACAGCACAGCCAGGGGGAAGAACAGAGAGAGAGAACAGCACAGCCAGGGGGAAGAACAGAGAGAGACTGCACAGCCAGGGGAAGAACAGAGAAAGACAGCACAGCCAGGGGAAGAACAGAGAGAGGAGACAGCACAGCCAGGGGGAAGAACAGAGAGAGAGACAGCACAGCCAGGGGAAGAACAGAGAGAGAGAGACAGCACAGCCAGGGGGAAGAACAGAGAGAGAGAGACAGCACAGCCAGGGGGAAGAACAGAGAGAGAGACAGCACAACCAGGGGGATGAACAGAGAGAGAGAGACAGCAAAGCACAGCCAGGGGGAAGAACAGAGAGAGAGCGTGGCTTTGTGGGGAAGTGAGAGAGAGAGTAGGAGGACAGACAAATGAGAGAGAGAGAAAGTGAGAGGGAGGGATGATGAATAACCCTTTTAGCAGCCTCCTACGCTGAGCTAGCATTTTGTGCCTGGCGCTGCGGAGACAATGAGGCGAGAGATCGCATGTCTGCTCTGTGTGGACGGGAAGAAAAGAGCTGAAACTCCCCATCTCTCTCTCTCTCTCACAGATTGAACCACAGACAGTCATCTACAGTAAACAGTACCACAGTGTTATTCAGTTGTGTAAATTACTTAAGTAAAATACTTTAAAGCACTACTTAAGTAGTTTTTGGGGTATCTTTACTTTACTATTTATATATATTTACTTCACTACATTCCTAAAGAACATAATGTACTTTTAACTCCATACATTTTCCCTGACACCCAAAAGTACTCGTTACATTTTGAATGCTTAGCAGGACAGGAAATGGTCAAATTCACACACTTATCAAGAGAACATCCCTGGTCATCAATACTGCCTCTGATCTGGTGGACTCACTAAACACAAATGCTTAATTTGTAAATTATGTCCGAGTGTTGGAGTGTGCCCCTGGCTATCAGTAAATAAATGTATATATTTTTTTATGGTGCCGTCGGGTTTGCTTACTAAACAAATTTACTTTTGATACTTAAGTATATTTAAAACCAAATACTTTTAGACTTCTACTCAAGTAGTATTTTACTGGGTGACTTTCACTTTTACATGAGTCACTTTCTATTAAGGTATCTTTACTTTTACGCATGTCTGAAAATTGGGTACTTTTTCCACCACTGGTGTTATTCCCATCTGTCTGTTTCACCACAGCTAGTATCAGACCTGGGTTCAAAGACTATTTGAAATATTTTGAAATACTTCAACTGGGCTTGATTGAGCTTGCCTGGCGCAGTGGAACGGAACACACAGAAAGTGCAACCCCTGTCCACCTGGCACTCTAGGCAGTCTAAAGCAAATGTATTTGAAAGTATTTCAAATACTGTTTGAACCCAGCTCTGTTATGCACACAGGGTACAGTACATCAACATCCATCCCACACAGTAGTGACACTGTATTTGGGACAAATCATTCACTAAACCCTAAACCTCAACTAAATCTTGTAATGAAAAATGTGGAAATGTAGCAAGTTGAGGTGCTTTGAGTAACCCTGGATTGTAAACTGTCATAGTAAAAACATATTGATACAACAGTAGCTAAAATGGGGAGAAGTCTGTCCATAATAAAGCGCTGCTCTGCCTTCTTAACAACACTATCAACAAGGCAGGTGCCACAAAGAGGGACTTAGGAAAATTACAATTGGCTCAGAACAGGGCAGCACGGCTGGCCCTTAAAAGTACACGGGGAGCTAACATTAATGATATGCATGTCAATCTCTCATGGCTCAAAGTGGAAGAGAGATTGACTTCATCACTACTTGTTTTTGTAAGAAGTGTTGACAAGCTGAATGTACCGAGCTGTCTGTTTAAACTACCAGCACACAGCTCAGACACCCATGCATACCCCACAAGACATGCCACCAGAGGTCTCTTCACAATTCCCAAAGTCCAGAACAGACTATGGGAGGCGCACAGTATTACATAGAGCCATGACTACATGGAACTCTATTCCACATCAGGTAACTGATGCAAGCAGTAGAATCAGATTTTTTAAAAACAGGTAAAAATACAACTTATGGAACAGCGGGGACTGTGAAGAGATACACAGGTACAGACACGCATACGCACACAAGCGCTAGCACACGCACTCTACACACACATACATTGTAATATTGTTGTATGGTGGTATTATACATTTTGTATTGTAGATATGTAGTGGTGTAATAATGTTTTATCTTTTGTTTTTTATGTAATGTAAGTGCCTTAATGTGTTTGGACCCCAAGAAGAGTAGCTGCTGCCTTGGCAACAGCTAATGGGGATCCCTAATAAATACCAAAGAATCCCATGTTTGAACAGTGCGTCTGACGGTTTACAGTCGCGATAGGAACTGTCAGATGGCTAAAGTAACTGTGAATCTCTTTTACTTCTTTTATGACACGCATATGGAATTTCAGAACAAAACATATGCGTTCCGTTCTGAGATACACTGCTCCGGTTTGCATGCAGAACAGAACACAGAACATACAGTGCCTTCGGAAAGTATTCAGACTCCCTGACTTTTTCCACATTTTGTTAGGTTACAGCCTTATTCTAAAATTGATAAAATAAAATTTTTTCCCTCATCAATCTACACACAATACCCCATAATGACAAAGCAAAAACGCGTTTTTCGATTTTCTTTGTGCAAATGTATGAAATTAAAAAACATAACGGAAATAACACATTTACATAAGTATTCAGACCCTTTACTCAGTACTTTGTTGAAGCACCTTTGGCAGCAATTACAGCCTTGAGTCTTCTTGGGTATGACGCTACAAGCTTGGCACACCTGTATTTGGGGAGTTTCTCCCATTCTTCTCTGCAGATCCTCTCAAGCTCTGTCAGGTTGGATGGGGAGCGTTGCTGCCCAGCTATTTTCAGGTCTCTCCAGAGATGTTCGATCAGGTTTAAGTCTGGGCTCTGGCTGGGCCACTCAAGGACATTCAGAGACTTGTCCCGAAGCCACTCCTGTGTTGTCTTGGCTGTTTGCTTAGGGTTGTTGTCCTGTTGGAAGGTGAACCTTCGCCCCAGTCTGTGGTCCTGAGAGCTGTGGAGCAGGTTTTCATCAAGGATCTCTCTGTACTTTGCCTCGATCCTGACTAGTCTCCCAGTCCCTGCCGCTGAAAAACATCCCCACCGCATGATTATGCCACCACCATGCTTCACTGTAGGGATGGTGCCAGGTTTCCTCCAGATGTGGCATTCAGGCCAAAGAGTTCAATCTTGGTTTCATCAGACTAGAGAATCTTGTTTCTCATGGTCTGAGAGTCTTTAGGTGCCTTTTGGCAAACTCCAAGCGGGCTGTCATGTGCCTTTTACTGAGGAGTGGCTTCTGTCTGTCCACTCTACCATAAAGGCCTGATTGGTGGAGTGCTGCAGAGATGGTTGTCCTTCTGGAAGGTTCTCCCATCTCCACAGAGGAACTCTAGAGCTCTGTCAGAGTGACCATCGGGTTCTTGGTCACCTCCCTGACCAAGGCCCTTCTCCCCCGATTGCTCAGTTTGCGCATTGTCATTATGGGGTATTGTTTGTAGATTGCTGAGGATTTTGTTTTAGTTAATCCATTTTAGAATAAGGCTGTAATGTAACAAAATGTGGGGTCTGAATACTTTCCGAAGGTACTGTATACACACTGCAGTGTGCCTGCTAAGTCACTCAAACATTCACAAGGACACAGTCCTACACATTGGCATCCACGGTCGGTTAGACATTTTCACAGATACATCCACACACTTCTATTCTTAGACGGTGCGATATCACACACACTACCTGAGGGGCTCCAGGTGTGTCCAACACCAGGTCAGGCAGCTCCCTGAGTAACTTGTCAAAGGAGCTCTCCACGTCTTTACGGCTCAGCACGCGGCCACACAGGTCCGTCAACAGAATGGACGTCAGCTCTCTGTGGCTGGCCTTAGCCTCCAGGGCCAGGCTCACAGCCAGCATGGGCACCCCGCTAGACATGGAGCCCAGGTTGAGTTCACCCAAGAGCTCCTATGGAGGGGAGAGAGGGGGATGGGTGTTGGTCAGATGGAATACAGAGTTGGTCATGGGGAGAGAGAGGGTATTGGCCAAGAAGAGGGCGTGGGCTCATAGGTCATAGGGTCAAATCATCAGAGAAGAAGAACATAGCTACATCCTTCAGAATTAACTCAGACTACAGTCAGATCAAATAAAAGGCAGAAGCAGGTCCACCAGTGATTAGGAAATGGAAAGCGCCCTAAACACAGAACACTACAGCCAACTCAAATAACCGTTGAAATTAACCTACCGCTACTTCATTGGTGTCGCCGTGTTCAAAGTACTCCTGCACGATGGGAGTGAGCGTCTTCTCAAAGTCACCTTCCTCCAGCGGAGGGACCACCGTCTCATACACACAGTTCTCCTGTAGAGGACACAACAGAAAGCAGAACAATGAAGCCGATCAAGATTGGATACCAAAAAACGTGTATAGTGTACTTAAGGGCTGAGTTGTTTCATGAGCAGGTAAAACTCAGCATCCTAACCGTACTGTACCTAACTCAGAGGGTCAGAGGTCCAATATAAATGGTCCAATACCTGAGCTTCGTCATAGTTGGGGTCTTTGACGTCGACCTCATCCAGGTCATACACTTCTCCTGGTGGGCCCCACACCCCTTTGCCCCCCGCGCCACCTGACCAACAGACAAAGAACAAGGTCAATGCCAGTGATGTTTTCAAAACAGAAACAACATTTTCATGGTGCAAAATAGTTTAAATCTGTGGAAAAACAACGTACAAATCATAATCTGGCAGTGTGATTTAAAGATGTATGAAATGAAAAAAATGTGTTCACTAACTGTAAGTCGCACTGGATAAGAGCGTCTGCTAAATGGCTAAAATTTAAGATGCAATATGCAGAAATCGCTCCGCCATTTCCTGGTTGCTAAAATTCTAAATAAATAGTTTGCTTAATTTCAGTTTATGTGACAAAACAAATAATTATAGTGTAGAGAATCATTGTACCATCTAAACCGCTGTGAAGTATCTTTTCCATAACCAAAAATATTGTATTTTCAACTGTTTGAAGCTGGTGTACAAAACGCAAAAACAAAACTTAAGAACAGGAACCATAGAAATATCCACATATACTGAACAAAAATATAAACGCAACATGTAAAGTGTTGGTCCCATGTTTCATGAGCTGAAATAAAAAATAAAAAATGTGTACAAATTTGCTTACATCCTGTTAGTGAGCATTTGTCCCATGCCAATATAATCCATCCACCTGACAGGTGTTGCATATCAAGAAGCTGATTAAGCAGCATGATCATTACACAGGTGCACCTTGTACTGGGGACAATAAAAGGCCACTCTAAAATGTGCAGTTTTGTCACATAACACAATGCCACAGATGTCTCAAGTTGAGGGAACGTGCAATTAGCAAGCTGACTGCACGAATGTCCACCAGAGCTGTTGCCAGAAAATTGAATGTAAACATAAACTGCCTCCAACGTTGTTTTAGAGAATTTGGCAGTACGTCCAACAGGCCTCACAACCGCAGACCACGTGTAACCACGCCAGCCCAGGACCTCTACAGCCGGCTTCTTCACCTGCGGGATCGTCTTGAGACCAGCCACCCGGATTGCTGATGAAACTGAGGAGTATTTCTGTCTGTAATAAAGCCCTTTTGTGGGGAAAAACTCATTCTGATTGGCTGGGCCTGGCCCTCCCACCTATGTCTGCACCCCTCCCCAGTCATGTAAAATCCATAGAGTAGGGCCTAATTAATTTATTTCAATTGACTGATTTCCTTATATGAACTGTAACTCAGTAAAATTGTTGAAATGTTTGTTTATATTTTTGTTCAGTATAGAAATAGCCACATAGAATGCTCCTTTCTTCAGCAATGTGCGTTATAAAAATGCCACTATTGAGGTATTGCTCAGATTAGGGTGAAGTTGTCCCTACACATTGGTCTCAGGCCAGTTTTGCATTTCCCCCACTAAGGGTTAAGGTTAGGATTTAGGGAAGGCAAGCTGATCCTAGATCTGCATCACCCCAGAGCTTTCAAAACATACTACTAACCAGTAGCCTATATGTGGTCACCTATAGCTGGAGTGGGTTTACATCACAATGCAGCCTACATTTGAACAGCACACAAACACTGTACTGACAAAGGAAAGAAGGAAGGTCAACAGTACCCTATGTACAATATACAGGAAGGCACACACACACGGTCTGTGATTTTGACAGGATGTCTCGAATACAACTGAAGTGAAACACTGAAAAGCACCTTCAGTTCAAAAGGCTTTTCTCCAGGAAGACACAGAGAGCATATGACGTCATAGACAGAGCTCATCATGGAAATGATACTACTGATCGCGGAAACCAATATGAAACATTACAACAAACAGGAACTGGCCTAACTATAGAGGGGAATAGATCAATTATATATAAACAAATCAGATTTCCTACAGACCTTTTATTTATCCATACCACTATGGTGGGCCTATAACTAGACAGGAAAAAGTGGTGAGCACAAAAATACCTATAGTGTGTGTTGGACTGTATAGCACGTCCTATAGAGGGTGTTGGACTGTATAGCACGTCCTATAGAGGGTGTTGGACTGTATAGCACGTCCTATAGAGGGTGTTGGACTGTATAGCACGTCCTATAGAGGGTGTTAACTTTAAAGGCTCAACTGCTGACATAAACCACATATTTTAAAAGGGTAATTCCTCATTAGTAAGTGTTACACAAAGCCACATCTGTTGGTGGCTCTGTAGAAACAGATTGCCAGTCTATTTATGAAGAGACCCATTTCCAAAGCAGCTCAGCTTGTCTAGGCCTACATGTTTTAACCCCCCTCCCCTATAAGTCCCACCCAGTGTGTGTGTGTTATGTGGAGGCTATGTGTGTGTTATATTCCTCCTGTATATAGCTCTGCCCCTTTAGAATGTTGTCTGTGCCATGGCTGATTCTGGAACATCATGTACCTACTACCCTCGTTGCCCTGCGAGATTCCACCCATAGAATAGTTTCTGTTATGCTTCCAAAAGGTTACACAACTTGAACTTTTACAGGAGCCCCTAAACCACAGCGGGACCTAGACTGTGTTCCAAATGGCACCCTATTCCCTTTAATATAGTGAATAGGGTGCCATTTGGGACAAAAGCCCAGGCATTTACATTGACATCATGGCCCAGTTCTTTGGTTACATAACTCAAATACATCTGTGCCAAGATACTATGGTTCATTTCTATCAGAAAATAACTAACTGTACTGTGCTTCTGCAAGATGTTATGTTGGCAGTGGGGACTGACATCATCAAACAAGGCCAAGAAAGATACTGCGGTTTCTTTTTATCAGATAAGAACCGAACTAACCAGGGCCTGACCTGTATTCAAAAAGTGTCCCAGAGTATGAGTGCTGATCTAGGATCTGATTCCCACCTTTCCACATAATCATATTCATTATGATCTAAAAAGGCTAAACTGATCCTTTATCAGCACTCCTACTCTGAACGTCACTGTCAATATGGGCCCAGAGGACAAATAGCTGGGGGTACGGCAAGGTGCTCTGACTACATCTCCCTATATAGTGTAATACTTTGACCAGGGCCCATAGGGATCTGTGTACTATATAGAGAATAGGGTGTCATTTGGGACACATGCTTTGACTCTGCTGAGAAGCAGCTTCCTCTCCCGTTCTACATGAATGACGCTTCAGCAGTCTGCTAAATGACGTAAATGTAAATTTATAAGGTGATTAAAGAGTAGTAAATAGCTTATCACGAGGAAGATTAACATGCATGCAACTATAAGATTCAAAGGAGTCACTTGTGTTATTGGTAAACAAGCTAGGCTAGTTGGAGATATTGGCCAAGGGGTCATGGGAAGGTGAGGTGATGTTATCTACAACAAACCGCCATGCTCTTGCTATCTATAGTTTACTTTATTGCTTAGTTTGCATGTCTTTGGACAAATGCTCAATCTTGTTTCAGTTATCCAAGTCTGTTAGACCAAGAGCCATTGAAAAAAAAGCCTTCAGCGGATGGATACCAAAAGGACATAAGAGGGGTGTTAATATAAGTGAGTGTGATCGGATCAGGCTCACCTTGCCATTTGTTTACATAATTGGTTTACTACTGGGCTGGCAGTTGGAAAGGCAGGGACAGGGAGAGATCTCTCGGGGACTAGGTCACGTGTAGCCTTGATTCCAGCCAACAAGAATATGGTGTGATCTCTGGTCACGCAAGACTAGGACACACCATATTGTAACTCCGTAGGCAATGATAGGCTATTCCTTGAAGCATGTTTTTGCTCAAAACACAAATAGACTAACTTGTTGCTTATCAATTAATGCAGCAACAGTATTACGCCTGTTTGGTATTACATTATTCTAGCAATGTTAACACCTTATTACATAACGTCCCATTACTAGTCTTCGGTAGACTTCTATGGTCTTCCCTTCCCTCGCCGTGACTTCACGTGATCACAAGTAGGCCTATGTTAACAACACGTTATTACATAACCACATAAATAGTCCCTCCCCATACCTTTCTCTGGTAGTCCTCTTCCCTTCCTTTTAACATGATATGTTATTAACATCTACATATCTCCCCATACCTTTCTCTGGTAGTCCTCTTCCCTTTCCTTTAACATAATATGTTATTAACATCTACATAACTCCCCATACCTTTCTCTGGTAGTCCTCTTCCCTTCCCTTTAACATTTACATTTTAGTCATTTAGCAGACGCTCTTATCCAGAGCGACTTACAGTTAGTGAGTGCATATATTTTTCATACTGCCCCCCCGTGGGAAACGAACCCACAACCCTGTCATTGCAAGCGCCATGCTCTACCAACTGAGCTACACGGGGCCCATGATATATTATTAACATCTACATATCTCCCCATACCTTTCTTTGGTAGTCCTCTTCCCTTCCCTGCCCGTGACTTCCTGTCCAGCAGTTTGCTCTTGGGGCTGGTGGGGGGTACGGTGCCGTTGGTGCCCCGGGAGGGGTCCCCATTATCACTAAACGAGTCCCCTCTCCCCGAGTCTCTAGAAGAAGTCTTCCTCAGCCTCCTCTTCGCTTTGGCTTTGAGACGGGCCTCGTGGATACTGTTAGGTGCCGAAATCCAGTTGCCATTTATTTCGTTCTTGATGTTTTTGGTGATAATGCCATTCTCCTCTTCGCCCGAAAGGAAGGAGTCGCTCAGATCGTCTGCATCTGTTGGTGGGGGATGAAGGAGGTGGTGAGAGACAAGGTAAGATGGCAGTTTGACCAGAACAAACTCTATTGGCAGTTTGACTGATTGACCAGAACAAACTCTATTTGCAGATGTTCTATTTCATAACAGAGGTTATGGGTAACTATAAGGTAATTTGATGTTCGCAATGCATTATGAATTGAATAGGGTTTAGATCCCAAGTTTTGTAGTATGAATGCATCATTCCATTTATAATTGAACCATAAACTATTTGTTATGCTTGACCATATAAAATGTAAGGCCAGCAGAATAAAAATCATGATCAGTGGTTACAGAAAAAGCAGCAGTCACTGCAAGTTAGAATCACCAGTAATCACTGAGCTACTTCCGCATCAAAAGTCCAGACAGACTACAGACTGGTAAAGATAACTTACCAAGGGGGTTAGCGTTTAGCCATGCCTCGCAGTCAGTTGCCATTGTTTTAAAACGGGGATTTGGAGCAGCGGAAATGCGTTCAAATTTGTAAAAATTCTGCAGACACCTGAAATTATAAAATAACGTTTCAATTAATTTTGATGTGCATTCATTTCATTGGCACAACATCAACATGTCCAGACAAGCCCCCTCACATCCCTCCCCCCTGACCTAATTCATGCATTGATAACCGATAATCGTTAATCTCCAGACTAAATACAAATCTGTCAACAAATGTTTTTGGACAGCAGCATAGCAAATCACTTTTTGCAAGCTCCTGCTGCTACGACGCACCACAACTACGCAGGCAAAACAATGACCGCATCGTTGTGCTGAAATCATTGACGATAAATTACACGGTAAAAGAAAAAAGGTAAGTATTGAAACAATAAGAGGTAAATACTGCTTAAAGTTGATGTACTCTATATATAATTCATATTTCAGTGATAATTTGTATCTCCGTTATTAGTTTAGCCGTTATCACAAAGTTGAAGGCTGCCTCGCTCGGTTGTTGTCACTTTGCAGCCCAAGCGACGGGAAAATGCACGACAACAACAAAGCCAGCTATCATTTATCGTCGATTTAGAAAAACAGTTCCATAATATCATGCATTAGCTGTCTACCTCTTGAGTGTCAAAAGTCCAAAGGAAAATGACTGAACGTGTCTGCCGTTCAAGCTGTAAATTGATGTGGGTTTAAATGCTGTTGTTTTTGTGTTGTATACCCAGCAACACTTTGGCATAGAATTGTGTTTGAGATATCCGATTGGCTGAACTAGCAGACGTGTGGTAAAAAGGTCACCAATCAAAATCCCGGATGAGATCTGGCTTCTCGTATTTTCTGTAGGGTCGAGTTCCTAATGATCTAGTGCTGCCCCTATCGTTGGAGTTGCAGAGTAGCAACAAAACGTTTGTGTAAAACACTATTACTGTATTAACGACTTATAATAAGCCTTTTTGTGTTGGAAAAAGGGTAAAATAACTCTCATTGTTGTATTTGACACCCAACAAAAATAGGCTAAGTCCCAAATTGTGCAATTTTAGACCCGAAACTAGCTAGAACATTTTGTTCACTATAGTGTAGGCCAGGGGTTCTCAAACGTTTTGGGGCCTGGGACCCCTTGTGATAGCAAATTCATCAGGGACCCCCTCATAATCAGAACACAACTCGAGTGAGATAAAAAATAAATAGCATACAAGGAGTTCTACTATGACTGGCAGTGCATGGCCAGACGAACCAAGTCTCGGCACTGGGAAGGAACATTTTAAAGGCCCATCTATTGGCATCGGAGAGGACATTTAGCAGTTTTCAAGCAAATTTCCTGCAATTCTGCACATTTTGTCATGGGGCAGAGAGATTTTTTTGTTTTGCAGCTTTAAAGCTAATATCCTGCAATTCTACACATTTCGCCAAGAGGCCAAGATAAAACTTTGCAGTTTTGAAGTTTAAATTACAGTGCATTTATGTAAAAAATACACGGCCCCCACATTAAGAACCCCTGGTTTAGGCTACTGTATTGTACATCCTATACATGGACAACATGTACAGTACAATATGCATGTTTGAGTCAGTACACGTAATGTACAGCCAGTGCAATCAACTATACATCTATCCTCACCCCACCCAAATAGTTTTTTTCAACGTCTCATATTCACATACTGAAACACTTCTAATGTTACTTGTATGTAACCAGTTGTTACATACCAGTCCTGTGAAACTGTCCCAATATAGATATTTTAGTAATACACAGTTTACCTTGTATCTACTTACAGAGTAGAGACAGACTACTTTTCCCCATTTCAAAACTTATAGCAATGTGTTCTGTAAATGAAAAAAGTCCAATTGATTATACATAACAATTTGTTACTGGGAAACTGTCCAAAGATAGATAGTTTATTGTATAATTTTTCCTATTTGACTGTAATGTGTATTGTCAATGATAAAGTCCAAGAGTGCAATTGACTTGACAAAGTCTGTGCTATCGAAAGGAATAATCATTATACAATTAGTTTGTCCTCTGTAGCTCAATTGGTAGAGCATGGCGCTTGTAACGCCAGGGTAGTGGGTTCGATCCCCGGGACCACCCATACGTAAAAATGTATGCACACATGACTGTAAGTCGCTTTGGATAAAAGCATCTGCTAAATGGCATATTATTATTATTATTATTATTATTATTATTATTATTATTATTATTATAGTTTGGTCTGACAAGTGTAATATCCTACCTTAACACCTGGGGGCGCTCCCCTCAAACAGTAGAAAGTCACAACGCCCCATGCACATGAAAGTAGCCGTTTTTCTCATCCTCAAGGATTTTATTTATGCACGTTGTCTTATACTGTGTTTTGCTTCTCCAAATTGTCTAATAACCTAAACTAATTATTTTGCATCCCATTATTCAATGGGAGAAAATAGAGAAAATAGCTAAATTGGTGCCTAACTGCAACACAAGTTTGCATAGCTTCAATAACACATACACCACAGGTGGTTGGTGGCACCTTTAATTGGGGAGGACGGGCTCGTGGTAATGGCTGGAGCGGAATCGGTGGAATGGTATCAAATACATCAAACACATGGTTTTCATGTGTTTGATGTCATTCCATTTGCTCCATTCCAGCCATTATTATGAGTCGTCCTCTCCTTAGCTGCCCCCACTGATACACTAACAGCTTTCTCTCTTAAAATGTTTATTCAAATGTTTGCATCAGGAAATAACCATAAGAAAAGTTCAACAAAATCTTAAACACAATCTTAAAACAATCTTAAAACTTGGAGCAACATTCACAGTGTAGAAAACAGAGAGAGAGAGCAAGTTTCAAACCCTGCCTCAACAATATATTATACTGACTTAAAATCACTTTACTGACTTAGAATCACTTTAATCACTTAATTTAACTCTTAACACTTAATTTAACTCTTAAATAACACACATGGTCCAGTTCAAGTTTCTATACAGTTTAAAGGCACTGTATAAATTATTTAGACATTTGCAAAATATTGAACCTGATGTGACAAATTTCACAATTCTCAAATTTGTCAAAGTATTTTTAAATGAAATCAAATACAGGACAAAAAATTGAAGAAACCCTGAAGAAAACATATGGCGATTCTTTGGTAAAACTGCACCTCAATTTAAAGGAAAATTCCACACAATAAATATATTTTGGTATTTGTTTCATTAGTCGATTGTTGTTCCAAAAAGTTTCTACTTGTCAGCACTCAAGTTTTCAAGATATGTAACTTAAAAAATACAGAAATCATCCCCGTATGATGCATTTGGCATCATATGATGCAAAAAGCAGCATCATATGATTCAAAATGCATCATATGGGGATGACATATTTAATGCAAAATGCATCATACGGGGATGATTTTGAAAGTTACATATCTTTCAGACTGATATGTTTTTGTCCATGTCTGTCTGGAACCGTATTCCATTTTGTCTCAATGAACAGACACAGTAGGTATAACAAGTGTAGGCCTTTATATCCTGCAGTTATACACAAAAACACTGTGTAATGAAATACACATTCAAAATGTAACGTCCAAATTAAATCAACCTGAGGATTACTTCTAAACTACTAAATCTACCAATGACAGATATGTTCCAAGGCACTTTGCATCTAAAATCGCATTATGTAATATCCCTAACACTTTACAGACAAAAATGTAAAGTTAAATCAAATGATTTGAATTGTATGTGGAGAACAGCTACATAGAACAACATGTAACCAGAACCATGACAAATACTAATATGGATGAGTTTCAATTCATTATATCACAGAGTCTGATTTCAACAATAATTACTAGAAAGAAGGCTGTGTTTATTCCTGTGATGAATAACAAAACACATTTCTTCTCTACTGCCAACAAATCAAAGTGTGACCGGTTTTCATTTAGGCAAATGTAGTACTGCAATATCCTACACAATATCTGAACACTGGAACCTTTCTACACTCACAGTATTTTTAAACTATGTACAAAATCAAACATTTTGCTATATTGTATATAGCCTCGTTATTGTTATTTTATTGTGTTACTATTTTCTTAAGCAAATATTTTTCGTACTTTTTAACTGTGCATTGTTGGGAATGGGCTCGTAAGTAAGCATTTCACGGTAAAGTCTACATCTGTTGTATTCGGCGCATGTGACCAATAACATTTTATTTGATTTGGTATTCAGCAATGAGTTGTTGTCCAAGCAATTCCCAGAGAATGGCTCTTCTCTCCGGGTCCAGTTCATTTTACCGTGTGACCTCCATCCGATATGTCATTTATTCATGTCTCTTTCGTTGAGTAGTCCTTGGCAAGCTCAGATCACTCAGTCTGTAGCACACACGCAACGCCGTCCGCCCCACCAACTTGACGGTACCGTGTGATGAGTATAGGTCAGAGGTCACTCTGTAGCTGAGGGGTCAGTGAGTGCACCAAGTAGACTGTCCTCTGCCAGCTGAGACAGGTACTTCTGTGAAGAGAGGAAAGAATAAAGTTAGCTTTGTGTACGTACTTGTAGAGAGCTCCCCTTTAAGTGGGATATTAAACTGCATTCAAATACTTAGCCTATAACACGGCTATCCACGTTTCACCTTTATTTCGCTTTCCACTATCATACACTACAACTCCATCCGACTTCCTGTGAATTTTAAAATAAGGAGACCTGATTTATCTATATTGAGTTTCTTATGCATATTCCCCTGTATAAACTCCTCAGCCAGAGCTACTGCTGTTTGACACAATAGTCAAGGAGAGAGACTGAAACCTAAGAGAGTGGAATGTGCTGAGAGAGAGGCAGGTGCTTCCTGAACAGACATGAACCTGTCTAGTGTCTACATTCACAGCAAGTCCTGTTAAAGGCAAAAACCATCATCACCAACCAGCTCTCGGCTAAGCGGGTAGCAGCAGGGAGCCCACACACACACACACACACACACACACACACACACACACACACACACACACAAAACCCCTCAGCTTTTGACGGACAGCGCATCTGTTCTTGAGGTTTTTTACCCTCGCAATGTTATCCATCAAATGTGAAGGAATCTTTTCCCCTTCTGGCTGCTTCCAGCTGTGCAGCTTTGCGTGTGTGTGTGGGGTGTTTGCGTGTGTGTGTGCCTGCTCGCATGCGTGTGTGTTGAGGTCTCCGTCCTGGATGGGCATTGAGCACTAATAGGTAACCTAATACAACTCCCAGTACTCAACACTGTGAGGGGGCCTTCCTGTGGTCTAGGGCTGCCCCTTCCACTGCCTGTTCACAGCCGCACAGAAGGACCCTGGCCAGCTGAACCAAGAGCCTATTGGGAATTAACTGAAGAGCACAATGGGTCTAACAAGTGTAGGGCTTTCTAACCGCCAGTTAGTCTACACATTGCCTGTATACAAAGTAGGTCCCCAGGAAGGACTAGAGCAGCTGGGCCCATTGGAAGGGAGCCTTTAGGAAGTAAAGTAATTGATAGACTCCCATGGAGGCCACACTAACACCCTCTACTCCACTCACTCATCCAAAGTCTCCTTTTCTGACACCCCACTGTAGGACTCCCCCCCCCCCCCTCCCTCTCTACCACCCACGGTGGAGAGGGAAAAAAGCTTTGGATTGTGCTGCCAGTTTTGACGTGTGTGTGTGTGTGTGTGTGTGTGTGTGTGTGTGTGTGTGTGTGTGTGTGTGTGTGTGTGTGTGTAGGGATAGTGAGTGACTGATCTCTGTATGTATCTTGTGCTTCGTCTCAAACTGTAACTCAACTCTAAAGACATTTTTCTGAACTTTGGTCTCACAATGATGTCACTGAGTGATAAGCTTACAAGGTTTCCCTGTAATAACTAATAAATATGTTCATAACACTTCTGCAAGGGGTAGTGTCCTCCCCTCTTCCTCCTCCCCTCTTCCTCCTCCTCCTCCTCCTCTTCATCCTCCCCTCCTCTCCTTCTCCTCTTCCTCCTCCTCATCCTTCTCCTCTTCATCCTCCTCCCCTCTTCCTCCTCTTCCTCCTCCTCCTCCTCCCCTCTTCCTCCTCCTCATAACCAATCATAATGACCTATGGTAATAGTAAATGTGTTACTGTACCTGAAGGTTCCTGTAGTGGACAGCACTGCGACAGTGAGAGGCCTTGGCTGTCTCCTCGCTGGTGTAGAACAGGCCACACAGTTTGCAGTAGAACCCCGTACTGGGCACGATGAACTCCACCCCTAGAACGGCAACACACTAATCAGAAAACCGCTAAAACTCCTTTAGAACAGCGACATACCAATCAGAGAACAGAACATGTACCCCTAGAACAGCCGCAGACCAATTAGAGAAGAGAACCCCCCGACCATAGAACAGCATCAGACCAATCAGAACACAGCCCATGTAGCTCTAGAACTGTTAATAAAAGTTGTTACAAATGTGATTACAGTGTTACTACACAGGTACTAGAGTAACGTAATGTAGTGTTACCAATGGAACTGATTGGCTGGAGAGGTCACACAGGGCTAAATCCCAGGTCTGAAACAGACCCATTTTCAAAGGCAGCTAGGATGAAAGTCAGCAGGTGCATGGCCCCTCCACCCCTCATCAGTTGCCTTGTTGTCAGTGTGACAGAGGGGAAGTTATCAGCTGTACTGTCACTGTCTCTCTCATGGGAGAACACAACACCACAGCTAGACACTACTCAATTGTGAATCTATCTCAGCCATGCTATCAATGACTGCAGCATTTGGCTATGAAACACACACACACACACACACACACACACACTCACACACTCAAAGGCCATCATAGTGCACTCATGTGATAGAAATAGCACAATAGCCCATGGTGAAAGCAGCTACAGTATTGAGTCTATACAGTGTTTTAGCGTTGACCAACACTTATGCAAGGCACAGTAGTCCATGTGTTGCATGTGCCTATGTCATTCCAGGCCTAAATACACACATCTCAGGGGTGCGTTTAACACCTTGCTCTCAACAAGTGGCCAGCTGAAGCTACCACATGCGCTCTTTCACTCCAGGCAAAGATAGCATCGGTATAACAGGTTGTTGATTCATAATCATATTATATTCAATAAGCTTTATTTGTCCCCAAGGCCAAGGGGCAATTGTTACTCGGCTTAAAGTCACATTGCAGATAGCATACAACAACAACAAACAACAACAACAATACTTTATGTAAATAAAAGTAATTTGGTCCATACCCAGAGGGATGCTGTGTTCACTGATAGCCTTCTGCCCTCTAGAAGGTGAGGGAGCCCCTATGTCTATCAGGTTTATAGGACATGGGACATGTGTTGAATTCTGGATTACTGTGAAAGAGAAGTGAACATTAGTTACCTATAAAATCTGTACAATAGTAAACAGGAAACATGGATGACGATTCAGAATCCCGATACTGGCTTATTTTAGCAGGAAGTAAAATACTGGACATATTATTTTATAGTGAGAGCAAATGTTCTGTACCTCTAGGAGTCTCAGCCTTGTGCTGCTGTATGTCTGGCTCCATGACCGGTACTTCCCTCCCCACGTCCTCCATCTTGTGTATTACATCCTGGGTCTTGCTGCTTTCACACGCACCAACGTGATTGGTCAGCGTCAGCTCCTGCTTCGGCTCTCCTCTCTTCAGTACTTCAGCTTCCAAGTTCGAGCACGTCTCTTCCAGGGCTGCCTTGAACTCCGGGTTGGGGAAATCATTCAGGTCTGAACTGAGCTGTTCTGAGGCTACTGGGATGGGTAGCTGTGACTGTGGCTGTGACTGTGGCTGTGACTGTGGCTGTGGCTGTGACTGTGACTGTGGCTGTGACTGTCGCTGTGACTGTGGCTGTGGCTGCGACTGTGACTGTGACTGTGGGTGTGACTGTGGCTGTGACTGTGGCTGTGACTGTGGCTGTGACTGTGGCTGCGACTGTGACTGTGACTGTGGCTGTGACTGTGGCTGTGGCTGTGACTGTGACTGTGACTGTGGCTGTGGCTGTGGCTGTGACTGTGGCTGTGACTGTGGCTGTGACTGTGGCAGTGACTGTGGCTGTGACTGTGGCTGTGACTGTGGCAGTGAATGGTCTGTGGGGCTGGGGTTTGTGCTAATCTCCCCATCTTTCTCCTCTGTAGGAATAGGATCCACCACCCTACCTACCCCACCTCCTCTGCCCGACTGGGTATCGTCTCTCTGGGCTAACTCCTTCTCAGCGCAGGGCCTGGGACTGGGGGTGGAGGTTGATCGTGGAGCCTCCCCCACGTCCTCCTCCTCCTCCTCTGTAGGATCGTTGTGGAGGTCTGAGGCTGACACGTCCTCGTGCTCCTGCAGTTCAGGGAGGTCCGGTTCGATGATGGAGTCGTCCTCTCCTACCTCGTCGACTGTGACCAGGTCCTCCATGTTCTTGGGGTACCAGCCCTCACCCTCCGCGTCGTCCCCACTCTCCCACTCCTCCGCCTCGCTGTCTTCTTCTCTCTCATGCTTGCCACTTCCTTGAGGAGAAACAGACTTCTCTTTGGATTGCTGATACTCAGCGGTTCTCCCTGTAATGATATGGCATTTGTTTGTAAATAAGATATACTGTCCAACTTCAAATGTATATATAAATCTTACTTGTGTACAAAAAATCCTCTCACTTACGTTATTTTCAGTAGTCTCTCTTTCCGGTTTCTCCGTCCCGTGTCTCCTGGTGGGTTTCTTGCTCCTTCCCTGTGTCGGGGACCCTTCTGTCTGCCTCCTGTCTTCTCCTGTCCTGGTGGGTAGAAACTCCTCTCCCAGCTCTGACTCTGAGTGTCTGGATCTGTGGTAGTCCGCTCCGTCCCTCCTCTTCGACTTGAGTCTCCCCTCCTCATGTCTTTGGTACTGTTGCCTCAGGGGCTTCTCTGACTTATACATTTGTTCTTTTTTGTAGAAGACCTCATCCATGTTCCTGTACGAAGGGAAGGGGGGCATGCCCTGAGGGCTACCCCGCGGGTGGGGGTACCAGTCTCCCCCCCTGTTTCCCCCCCTCATCCCCTCCCCTCCTCCTCCTCCTCTTTCCTCCGCTGATCTGGGACTGATCCGGTCTCGGTCGGAGGGTTTCAGGTACGGCTTATTCCGTCGATCCTGCATCCTCCCGTTCAGCCTGTCGTCATCCACTGTACCTCCGTTCCTCCATGGCACCTCCTCCCTTTCCCTCTCTCGTTCTCTGACCTCCTCCCCCCTTCTCATGTGTTGGGTGGTCCAGGAGCCCCGTTCCGGGCCTCCTCGGCAGGGTGCCCCCTGGGGGCTGTGGGCTGAACTACAGGAGGTAAAGCTGGGGCTGTGGGAGCGAGGGCTCAGAGAGCGGCTGATGGGACTACGGGACCGCGCTCTCTCTGGCATGTAGCTGAAAGGAAATCATATCATTAATATGCAGTTTGTAGTCAGGAAGTAGTGTTGGATAATTTCATCCAGTTTTTGTCGTTTTCTACAGGGGATCGATCATGCAAAGACAATCGCATATTACAAAAAAAAAACGCCACTCAGAAAATGTAAAGGAAAGAAAGAAAAAAGTTGCCTTACTGATCAATCTCCTGCATCTCGTCCCTTTCCCTCTGAGAGTTGATATCCTGTATGATTGAATCAACGTCTTTACCTGGTTTCTGTATGAACAGGGCAGAAGAGAAACTCAAATGAGCATTTTACACCATAATATGATACTGTACAGTAGATACAGTATATAGTTGGTGTGCGCTAAATAAAAACTAAAATCAACATTTCAACACCACAATGTGAACACAATACAACTGTCGGTCGGTGTGAGCTACTCACCTTGAGCTGAAGCTCCATGTATCTCTTGGACATCCTGATCAGTAGTTTCTGATCGTTGATCGTGGCTGGAGTCAGCTGGTAGTATTGAACCATAGCCTGAGCCGCCTCAATGTACGCCATCTCCACAAATGCCTGTGGAGTAAAAGAAGAATACTTTATTGATCCATTTTCCCTTACAGTGTCTTACTTTATCCCAACCCCTTCTAAAGACATACAAACACACACAGGTTGGGGATGTTGGAGAAGAGGGTATTCACAGTGCAGGCTGCAATGCCCCATGCAGATTTGAGCGCTTAAGTGCCTTGCTCAAGGGCACAACTGCAGTTGAGTGGAATGAGAGAAAGACACCAATGTTAGACAATTGTTTCTGACAGTTTAATGTCCTTTTTTCAAATAACATTTTTGCAATAACATATGTCAATCAAGGTCCGAGCAAATCTTCTAAAATCACAGCCAGGTTATCATATTTCATTGGCATCATAAATCAAAAAGACAGTTACAATCTGCTCAAATTAAGTTGTGGGTAACCAACACCCATGATTTTAGTATCGTCGATCCCCTTGAATGTGATCTGGGTGACATTAATGAGTCAATTTAATACAGTATCTGATAAATGAAATTCTAGAGACTTGAGTGAGACATCATGTTCTGTGATAAAATAGTTGGATGGACCGTAGGAAAAAATACATCATTATCACATTACAATATAAAATGGTCCATGAAACCGTCAGAGAAAAAGGCATCTTATCGTATTACAAGATAATATGAAGGGGAAACAATCCATCTGGTCCATAGCAATACAGGGGTATTTCAAGACATTAGGGAACTGCTCCAGTTGTCAAGGGCAATTACTTTTTTCTCCCAAAAAATATCTGTGACCAATATTGTGACTAGACTCCACAGTAGAGCTGTAGACATTTGTGAGGGGGGAAATGGTGTATCTGGTCCATAGCAACCGAGGGTTATTTCAAGACGTTACAAAGGGCCACACGTCCTTTGGTTTCCATTTCTCCATGTCAGTTAATTGAAGTGTGAGTTGACTCCTTAGTGGAGCCGTATACATTAGTGAGTATTTGTTCTGCAGTGATATCCCACAGGGCTAATGGCAGTAGCTGTGAGGGTCAAGCGAAACCACAGGTTTGTTCTTTGAGGCATTTCCAATGACTAGGGCTCACTGTGAGGAGTCTGTCGGGATAGGTCTCAGTCGTTAAGTTAATCGTTTAATTCATCTTTTAATAATCATCAGGTAAGACCAAAAACGAGCTCACATTTTGGCCCTTCTGGGACTAGAGTTGTGCACCCATGTTTAAAGAGAATAACATTGTACTGTACCTGGTGGGTAGAGCGCATGAGGATGTAGTTGGTGACTTTGCCGAAGGGCAGTCCCAGGTTGATGACATCATTCTCTGTGCAGCTGCCCTCGGGGAGGTTGCAGATGTGGACGACCCGTCCTGTGATCGATTTCCTGGGTGGAAATGGCTAAAATAAAGAGAAATAAGAAAAATGCATCAGTATGTTTATTACTGTTAAAACATCATAGGATTCGTGTAATATTTCATTGTATTTCATATATTATTTACACTAGTAAAAGTCTGATTGAAAGAATAAATTACAGGTATGCTCTTATCTATAATCCCAAATATGACAGTAAAGCTTAGACAAAGTTTACGGTCGAAAACATGTCCGCTTTTAAGAAAAGAGCACAATGATCTGAGAAATGGTCAGTAAGAAATGCAGTCCATTCCAGGGGGTTGCTGTCTTCTTCCCTCTTTTTGGAAGACTTTTAAGGTCAGTGAAAATATTTGACCCTACTTCAGCCACAGACTGTAGACCTAGACTAGACTGTGGGGAACTATTTCCTCCCTAATGTCAAAGCACTTCAGCATTATCACTCACACTCAGCTACAGAATGTGATGTATCCCTTCACTCTTAGAGCGTATCCCTCCAGCTCAGTGGCTCTGATATAAATAGATCCCTGGTGAAGCGACATGGTCGCCGTGACAGCATGACGTTGATAGTGAGAGCTTTCTCGTTTGGATTTGGGAACATTTCAGCTGACCAGGTACAGACATCCATAGCGCACACACACACACACACACACACACACACACACACACACACACACACACACACACACACACACACACACACACACACAAAGACCCAGACATCCCAGTCATCTTTGTCACTAATACCTCTGGTTTGCCAAGTATAGCAACCCCCGCTGCTCCTCTCCCCCCTCCCTCCCCCCTCTCTCTCCCCCTCAGAGTGGTTTAATTTACACCCAGGGGCAGCTCTCAGCTCTGAGATAAAAACCATTGGCCTCTCATCTGACTGAATAATGGCCAACAAAGTAAGTGAATGAAGAGGGCGTCAACACTTTTCCCTAATAGCTACGACACCAGATGTAATGGGAATCATCATCATGGGTCAACCTATGGAATATATCAACCACTGTGTTGTTCAGTTGATACAGCACTGGATATACAATAACATATGCTACTGTACACTACTACTCAGACATATACCGTTCACTTAGGGGAGAACATCCAACATATCTTTATTTTTGTATTTTATTTTTAGCTCTGCATCGTTGGAAAAGGACCCGTAATTAAGCATTTCACTGTTAGACTACACCTGTTGTTTATGAAACCTGTGACAAATAACATTTGATTTGATTTTGATTAGAAAATTCCAAGAAATTCCAGGCCAAACCGGGATCGTTCCTAACCCTAACTTTCACATTCAGATCACTTCAAAGCAAAATGTGATTATGTGTCACATAAAACAGCACTGACAGACAGTCCCTGACAGCCAGGGGTTTGGGTGACCATGATATCACCCAGGGCGGTCATAAATCCCTCCCTCCCATCCCTCCAGGTTCTCCCCTAACCTCTGCCCTCTCTACTGTCAAATATGTCAGTTAGTGCTGGATTTCTTCAGATCAGATTGATAAGAACAACAACACTGCAGCCTGACAGACCTGAGCTGTCCTTAACCATGACATTACCCCTGAGACGGGCCCAGCTAGCCTGACAGACCTGAGCTGTCTTTAACCATGACATTACCCCTGAGACGGGCCCAGCTAGCCTGACAGACCTGAGCTGTCCTTAACCATGGCATTACCCCTGAGACGGGCCCAGATAGCCTGACAGACCTGAGCTGTCCTTAACCATGACATTACCCCTGAGACGGGCCCAGCTAGCCTGACAGACCTGAGCTGTCCTTAACCATGACATTACCCCTGAGACGGGCCCAGCTAGCCTGACAGACCTGAGCTGTCCTGAACCATGACATTACCCCTGAGACGGGCCCAGCTAGCCTGACAGACCTGAGCTGTCCTTAACCATGACATTACCCCTGAGACGGGCCCAGCTAGCCTGACAGACAGTTCCCCCCTTTACCTCTACCCTTTGTCCTCTCTGCCTTCTGTAAAATGTCCCGTAGTGCTGGATTTCCTCCAAAGAAAATCCCTATACATGTAAGAACAACACTGTAGCCTGACTAGGGTTGCAAAGGGAGGGTATATTACTGGTAACTTTTGAAGTTTACCAGTACACTACCAGAATTCTGGTAACTTTCAATGAATTTATGGAATTTTATCAAATTACATCTAGGGGCCTTTTTGGGTTCTCTGGCCCTCTGTGTGGCGTTATCACATGTAAAATATATAAAATAATAAAATAAGATGATTTTAAAATAGAGAAATAGAATGACAAAGCTGTAAAACATTATGCTAAATATAAACCATCAATTTAGTGAATACCATTGGTGTTTAAAATGAGCGTTTCAGCATGAAATATCCTTTATTTATTTTTACACACAGTTATTTATTTTACTATGCCAATATGTCTTTATTGTAAATGTTCTGCCGCTAAACTAGTGGCAGTTGTGAAAAAAGTCAATAGTTGGAAGAGTTGCAGAGTTAATTGAAAATAATGCCATTGTTGATTAGATGCTTTTTTCATCAATTAGACTATTTTCTCTTGGACCGTAGGGTCTGTCCACTAGAAACTTATGGACAATATGGACACAGATATAAAACATTAATACTTTATATGAATACTTTCAAGTATAAATTACCAAAGTTACCATAAATTGCCATAGATTACCTGTTAATAACCTAAATTACTGAAAGTTCTGGTAACTTTGGTAAATTACCGGTAGTTTTGCAACCCTAAACCTGATGTGCCTGAACTGTCCTTAACCATGGTACTACCCAGATAACCATGCTACTACCCCAGGGATGGGCCACCCAGCCTGCCTGACAGACAGGTCCACATGTGGGACAGTCTGGGGTCGGATTCTCCTGTTTTTATGTTAGTTTGAGTAATGCCCAACGATCTTGTGTAAACTAACTTGACTGTCTTGTAATGTTAAGAAAATAAACTTGCATTGTGCTTGACGCCACAATGGTCCCCATACACCAGGTCACAGGCTAAAATGGGGGAACTCTTACCAGCGTATCTGTATAGCTAACTATTTCCAATAAGGAACACTGCTACATTTGATAGTAGACAGAAGACTAGACTATACTAGTAGATGTGATGAATTGGGAAAGTTATGTCAAAAGAACATTGCTACTGTGCTGCTACCCTATAATCCTCCCCTAAACCCAAGATTAGAACCAAGATGTTGCACCCCAAGATTAGAACTAAAATGTTACACCCCAAGATTAGAACTAAAATGTTACACCCCAAGATTAGAACCAAGATGTTACACCCCAAGATTAGAACCAATATGTTACACCCCCAAGATTAGAACCAAGATGTTACACCCCCAAGATTAGAACCAAGATGTTACACCCCAAGATTAGAACCAAGATGTTACACCCCCAAGATTAGAACCAAGATGTTACACCCCAAGATTAGAACCAAGATGTTACACCCCAAGATTAGAACCAAGATGTTACACCCCCAAGATTAGAACCAAGATGTTACACCCCAAGATTAGAACCAAGATGTTACAACCAGTTTGTAAAAATAACATTGTTACTGTGCTGCTACCCTAGACTCATCCCATAAAACCCAAGATTAGAAATAAGATGTTACACCCCAATATTAATAGGTAGTTGATGTGAAGAACATTGCTACTGTGCTGCTACCCTAGACTAATCCTCTAGCCCCAATGTTAATCTATCCAAAGCCCTGATTGCCTACAGGGTTTAATAACTCTCTGGCATGCCACCTGACTTTAACGGTTTCAGATGCGAGAGTGATAATTCTAGTAGCAGCTCTGTGCCAACTACCACTAGGCTAAACTAGCTCTCACGCACGCATATATATATATACACACACACACACACACACGCACACACACACACACACACACACACGCACACACGCACGCACACACAATAAAGGTCGCAGCAGCCCGGTCAGTAAACAGCTACAGAAATAGACAGCAACAGGCTGTTAATGTCCTTGAGGTGAAAGAGGGAACAAGAGCCTTGCCACCGGGCCGGTCGGTCATCGGTAGAGTGTTGCATCAGTCAGAGTGTTTGCCTTGTAAATATGTGGTCCAGCGATCTGGACACTTGTTCATGCTTTTACCTCCTTTGGATCCATAAGTTGAGGGTCATACAGTGTCGATGTTTCTGGGCTTGGGGAAGATGTTGACGCTTCTAAATCACCGATCTTGGATTAGATGACCCTAGTCTTAAACCATCAGGAGGATGAAAAACCTCTGACCTTGAATCAGTGGTTAGAGACTTGTTCATACTTTTATACAGCCAGAGCCTTACCCCTGACTTGAGGGTCATACGGTGTAGATGTTCTTGGACTGTGGAAAGATGTTGACTCTTCTTAACCACAGCTCTAGGATGACATTACCCCTTGCTTCAATTTTAATCATTAGAAGGGTGTAAAAAAGCCAGACCTTGTATCAGTGGTTAGAGACAATTTCTGTACATTACTATACATCTATGTACTGTTGTGTATTGTAGATTTAAAAAAAATATTAAATACATAATCCTAAAAATGACCAAAAGAAAGCACTGGTCCTTACATTGACATTGGACATTGCCAGTGTTGGATGTTATTAGGTTAGCTGATCTACAACAGCTGTGGATGGACTAAAGTGTTGCTGTTGATTAGTGTGTGGAGGCTGACAATGGCAGATGATGTACACATCTCGTAAACATGATTGGGTTTACTGGTGTTGGGGGTGCTGCGTTTCTGTTGGGAGATTGTATCACAATCACACACTGCCTGACCTACAGCTGGGTTCAAATGCTATTTCTAATACTTTATCTGGGCTTACTTGAGCTTCGCCTAGCGCAATGGAACCAATAGAATAGTTGTAAAAGTGCAATCCCCGCCCATCTGGCACTCAAGGCAGACTAGAGCAAACTCTCTAAGTATTTGAAAGATTTCAAATAGTATTTGAACCGTGGTCTGATGACCTATTCATCAGGAACTGAAGTGAAGTTACAATTATAATACATGAGGCAGTTAGTTAAGTTACCAAAGGCCCTGCC